TGTTTGGTTCATACTATCTGAGGGAATATAACATTCCTAGGGAATAGAACATTCCCTCCACATAGGATTTTAGGGGTCGTTTGGTTCACGGAATGTCAGATTACCTTAGGGAATGTTAGATTGCTGGGAATGTTAGATTACTGGGAATGTTAGATTCCTGTATTTGGTTAAAATTGGGGTATGTAATATAATCATGTTTGGTTTAGGGTTATCTTTTATACACACTATAATATCCTTAAAGATAACCAAGGTTATCTTGGTTATCTTACATTACCTAAGATTTTGAAGGGAATCACATTCCCTTCAAAATCCTATGTGGAGGGAATGTGACATTCCTTGGGAATGTTAGATTCCCTAAGATAATATGAACCAAACACTGAAATGTGAGCTTTGGAATGTCACATTCCTTTGGTTATGTTATATAACCTGAACCAAACGCCCCCTTAAAGGAAATGTGATTCCCTTCATTTTCTTAGGTAATGTGAGATAACCTTGGATATTTATAAATTTTGCTATTTTCAATTCATTCTAATTATTTAAAAATATATATTTTATGTTAACTTTTATATATATATATATATATATATATATATATATATATATATATATAACCCTAAACCAAACATAATTATATTATATACCTCAATCTTAACCAAACATAAGAATCTAATATTCCCAATAATCTAACATTCCCTAAAGTAATCTAACATTCCGTGAACCAAACGGCCCCTTATCAGTGAAAATTAATTTTACATGCAATATATCAATCACTAGATTACTGTTTAAGCTCTTTTATCATTCTATCTGTTCAATCAATCATTAAATTTATTAATGTTAGATGACATGACAGGTTACAATGCAACATGACATGACAGGCAATACAGCGGTACGTGAATACATATCCTTTGTATTATTTCCTTTTGTCAGCATTCGATTAATTAATTATTTCATTAAACAAATTATATACCGTTCAAGGGTATGCACTGAGTATCATCATATATAATAGTTCATTAATTATGTAAAAGAGGTAAATTATATTATACTATGAAGGTCATGTGTAACGAGGTCGATAAAAAGTGTGTTGGCACAAATCTAACTCGTGTCATTTTGTTATTACAATGACCATGTATTGTTTTATTACACAGACATATTTTATAATGCTATCAGTTGCATTTTGAAATACAAGCAATAATACAATTGTTTGATGGGGTACTATGGCCCAGCAATCATTATTGTGTGGACCATGATCCACACAAGCTGTGTGAACCATATTTTGTATGTTATAAAATAATGTAAATTTAGTACAAAAATAATGTATTTTTAGTATATAAATAATGTACATTGTATTCAGGAAAAGTATATTATTTTATATAATGTACATTCAATACACAAATAATATATATTTAGTATATTAAAAATGTACTTTTTGTTATGGTCCACACAATAATTTGCCATGGCCTAGGCAATCGGCCCAGGAGTAGTCTATTTGTTGGGAGTGGCAGGTGTTCGATGAAGGCCCAAGTATGTGTGGCGGACCAGTCAAAGTTATGGAGTAATATTTATAGCAATCGTTATACCGTGCACCAGGGCGCACATAGCAATGTGCGTCCCTGTGCCTCCCAAAACGACGTCGTTTTGTATTTTGTTATAAAATTATGTGTTTTCAAGTATAAAATTTTGTACATTCGAAACAGGAGATTTTTTATCTTTTTAAAAAAGATTATGTGTTTTCAGGTATAAAATTATGTGTTTTCTATTATATAGTTATGTACATTCGAAACATGGGAATTTTCAGTTATAAAATTTTGTGTTTTCAGGTATAAAATTATGTGTTTTCTATTATATAATTCTGCACATTCGAAACATGGGAATTTTCAGTTATAAAAATGATGTGTTTTCAGGTATAAAATTCTGTGTTTTTTATTATACAATTCTGTACATTCGAAATATGAATTTTTTTAAAGAGGTTAACAGTAAATACGCGAAAAAAGTACAAAACGACGTCGTTTTGGTCCAGAGCGCACAATGCACTGTGCACCAGCACAGTATAATTTGCCTATTTATAGTGACGATCAGACATCACTAAAAGGAAGACAATTATATGACGTCTAACATTTATGGAAGGACAATCAAGTCAACATAAAATAGCTCTACTTTCCTAAATATTTTTTTTCTTCCCTAAACTCACCTACTATATACATTCTAAAATATTCCACTCTACTATAAATACTCAATTACCATAAGACCATAATTGGAAACAAGCAAGGGGCATCCTCTTCATTCTTCCCAAGAGGTTGAATCTCCAATCCTAAGGGTCCAACAGAACATCTGAGAGGATGTAAACCATGGTAACAATCCCTGATCATCTTTCCCAAACTTCACCCCTATAACCAGTTGAGCTGCTCATGCAGAGACATCTTCTTCATCAATCTACATCATAATTGATCATCTTCATCGACCCGACCAATATTGCAAAATTCCATAAAATAGCATGAACCTAATGGCTCTCTATACAAAAAATGTACATGTACAAGATTACTGCAAAGATAATGGATTTTGACTTGACACCCAAAAAAAAAAAAACACTGTGATTGTTACCTTTCAATTTTTCACATTAAAAAATATTGTGTCTAATTTATTTTTCTTTTATCTTATTTATTTATATTATATTTTGTCACCTGAACGGTTGTATTAACCCGTCGACAACTAGTCAAAACTAACCCGTAAAACTAACAACAACTTAACGATTTACAGGATGATACAAGTCTATTCACAACATTTTTTTCAACAAAACAAACCAAATCAAGACATGATTTTCTTTATTTGCAAATGAATTCCATGTTTCACGTACGCATTGCAAATGGCATGCCATCTTGGAAATTAAAATAATACGTAGTATTAGTCAAGAAATTGAATGAATATTTCTTGATTGCGATGTCGACAATGTTACATTCAATATCATTTGTTCAAACTTGTAAAAGTAATTCACCAAACATATTAAACCATGCATAAATAATTTGGGGCAACCTAACAAAATTGGTCAAGGAATTGACTTTGTAACCGCAAAATGTTATCTATTGGCTTTTTTGGTTAATTATAGACAATCTAAATTGATTTACCTTTTTCTAATTTTTTTTTTTTTGGCTAATATCACAACGAAGGCTTTCCCGATACACAAATAATTTTAAATGTAAATTGTTTAAATATCGATCGTCATTTTTATTTATACTATGACTCAATGTTGTAAAAATCCCGCCTAAGCACCGATTAATCGGCGCCTAGGCGCTAGGCAATGGCTGGCCGCCTAGCGTATCACCATAATCGGTGGTCTAGGCGCCTGACCGGCTAGGCGGCCGACTAGGCCGCCTAAGTGGCGTCTAGGACTCTAGGCCGCCTAGACACTGACCGCCTAAGCCTCCTAGGCGCCGACTAGGCGTCCTAGGCACCGATTAGGCTGCCTAGGCACCAAATAGGTCGCCTAGTCGGTCAATTAACTATTGTTCTATTCTTTTTTTAAATGAGTTATTTCATTCAAAACGACATTGTTTTGAGCCAAAAAATCTTAAATTACCAAGTGGTTTGTGGTGCACTGGTATCCGATTGCTCCTTTATATGGGAGGTCTAGGTTTTGAGTCTCAGTGTAGGCGTAGAAACCCTAAATTGTTCAAACTCAACTCTATAAGTTTTGTAGGTTAATATTTAATAGAGAAAATTTCAATTTTGGTCACATGACTATAGGGGCATTGTTAATTTCAGCACCTGACTTTTAAAAGTGTCAATTTAGTACCTTGACTATGTAATTTTTGTCAATTTTGGTCACTCCGGCCAAATTGACAGTCAAATTTGACCGGAAAAATTTTATCTAGCATTTAGTCTATAATCTGAGGGGCAAAATTGTCTTTTAATCCTTTCTCCTAATTTTGAAAATATGGTCCGAATTAAGCCCAAGTGATGTTGACCCGGTTCGTCTGTTTATGTACGGTCAAAGCATCAATCCCTTGCCGGAGAAGACGATAGAGAGACGCCGACGTCGTCACTCGTGGCGCCGCAGGCAAAGACTTCAAAGAGGAATGAAGTAGCCGGAATAGCAGAAAAAGAAAAAGATGGGAACGAAGTAGCGGAAATAGAGAATCCAACGCCGCAGGCTCCGATTTCGTCGACGTCATTCGTGGCGCCAGCTACCGCTTCCCTGCCAAGCAAGCTATCACTACTTCTTTATTTGACGAGCCGCAAGAAGACGATGGTAACGAAGCAGTGGAAATGGAGTATCCAACGCCACAGGAATTTGGCAACGGATGAAGTGTTTTCTGGGTTATTCCCTTAAGCTTGACATTGAATTTGGCAATGGAATTTTTTTAATTTTGAACATTGAAATTTGAAATTAATTCCAGTTCTTGACATGGTTAAGCATCGGAAATTGAAAAGAATTTACATGTATTACTATCAATGACTACCATTGTGTTTGTTGTTTCTTCATCAATCGTCATCTTCCATGGCTTCCGGCGTAGTCAATCGTCATCTTCCATGTAGCTTCCGACGACCATGAAGGATTGAAAATCGTCAGATTGCCGGCCAAATTAAATGAAGGATTTTCATGGCTTCCGACAATTTTCAATCCTTTCGCCAAATTGCAGACCATGAAGGGTTGAAAATCGGCAAACCGGCAATTTGACGATGGACTATTTCGACGGAAAATTTTGTGCTTAATTCGGACCACATTTTCACAATTAGGATAAAGGATCAAAAGACTATTTTGCCCCTCAGATTATAGACTAAATGTTGGATTATATTTTTCCAGCCAAATTTGACCATCAATTTGGCCTGAGTGACCAAAATTGACAAAAATTACATAGTCAAGGTACTAAATTGACACTTTTGAAAGTCAGGTGCTGAAATTAACAATGCCCCTATAGTCATGTGACCAAAATTAAAATTTTCTCATATTTAATATTTTAGTACTAACTATTAAAGTATTAAATAGTTTATAATTATTAAGTCTTAAAATATTAAATAAATTTTTTACAAATAAAAAATACACGGGCGCCTAAGCGCTGATTAATCCCCACTTAGGCGCCCTAGGCGCTCCCCGAGCGCCCGATGAGCGCCTAGCGATTTTTTCAACCATGCTATTTCGAGTCATATTCGTAAAATTGGACTCTTACTAGAGATGACACACCATTTACAAAATTACAAGCTTGTTTCTGATTTTTTATTTTTTATTTTTTATTTATATTTTGTTAAATTTTTTAAGATATTTAATATTACACCTATCGGTAACACCGGCGTGTCAAAGTTCCGGCAACACCGGCAAGTTCTCCGTCTTACTAAAAAGGCGATGCCAGAATTCTACGCTGGAATTGGTCTCGTACGTCTCGTTCTTCGTCGAATCAAAGCGGCTCTCTCCGTCAACCGTGGCCGGAAGATCACCGGCATCACTGGAATTCTCCGACGAAAATACCTGCGACCAAAAACTCTCGTCGACTTCCGGCAGATCACTCTGCAATAATACCGCGTCGGAGACCACGCAGTGGCTGGAAATGCTGCAGTAGGACGATGCGTGGACGTCGGTCGAGGTTGTCGTCGAGGAATGCGGCGGAGAGCTCGGGGTCTGGAGATCCATGGCGAAGGGTTTCAACGGTTGGGATTTGGATTTCAAGCTGGGCTGCGGCGGAACAAGACCGTAGTCGTTTAACCGTTTCTTCAAACGGGTGTGCCATATGTTCTTGATTTCGTTGTCCGTACGTCCCGGCAATCTTGCAGCAATCACGGACCATCTGCAAATCAATCACGGACAAACTTTAATTATTAATTACTCAGCTCCTAAATTAATCAATATAACTATAAATTTGAAACAAATTAAATATTAAGCGAGGAAGCATGCATTAGAAATGATATATCAAGTCCGTACATGTTTAGCTCACTGGTTTAGTAGACAGTATGAGAGAAGAGATCAAGGTTTGAACCTCGACAGCGGTGTGAAATTATGTCCAAAATGGACAAATCCATTTACATTTTCCCAAATGCTCTATCGGACCCTTAAAGTTGAGAATTCAGCTTTTTAAGAGAAGAAATGATATGATATATCAATTCTAGTATAATTTTTGTCGGAGGTTATTGAATATTTTAATTAGCTCAATACTTTGAACTTAAACTCAGATTTCAAATTGACACAACTTGGGTGCAATAAGCTAGCAAGTCATCACCCAACTTGCCTAGGCTAGTAGTGAACACAATTGGCTAATTAACTAGTTTTGCATGACATTTGACACAACGTGATACATAGCTTGACCAAAAAATCACCATTAGCAATTAGAAGATACTAAGGTGTTCGTTATTATGATATAGGTCAATTTTAACTTATTTGGCCACTATTAACTTGTTGATTTAGTTAACAAATCAATATAAGTGTTTGGTTAATTAACTTTTTGTAACTCCAAAATGCTAATAAAATTCAAAAAGCTACTCAAAGCAACTTTTTCAATTAGCTTTTTGAGAAAAGAAATTATACCAAATAACTAACAACTAACAACTAATTCACCAAACACTTTTCTACAACCAGCTAATGTTATCAACTAGTTATACCCTCTACTTAACTCAATCAGTTAACATCTAACCGCTATTTACCAAACAGGGTAAACAAGTTGAACGAAGCTAAGTATAAATAATTATATTCTATAATAATATTTCAGGACACCTGGCCCAACATCTCATTTAGTCATTTACACTAACTAAAGTTGCTTGTTTTTTAAAAAAAAAAACTAAAGTTGCTTAGTTTTTTCCGATCTTAGTGGTACTAGAGCCTCACAAGTCACAATGTCTATTTTGTATTCTAATCTAGTAATAAGGCCATACTCTTTACTTCTCGACATAGTATAAATACAGATCTCTATTAGTACTCTCAATTCAATTTAGACTATCGATATAAAATAACTAGAAAAACTTAATTACGAATTATTTAGAATATAAAAATATATATTATATTATTTAAACATCCAAGTTGTAATACAAAAACATCACTATTTTAATTTATAATACACAAATATTATACTCTGTATATGCTCCCCATTTAAAAATAATTGAAGTTAACTAGCTCGTGATCCACGTTTTTGAATTTTCTTGAATAATAATTATTTTGATTAATTGGAAAGTTTACTGTCATTATTTGAAAGTGAGAGATAAATTTAACTGGCTTAATTGAAAAAATATATCGTGATTACCAAATTAGCTTTCTGATTAACTCTGCTAAAGTTGCTGAGAAATATAATACAGAGTAATTATTAATTAAAGTATATAGTATATAAGCAATCACCTGTTTCCTAGAGCTTGATGCAGCTTGATAATGGCGTCTTCTTCTTCATGGCTGAAGTTTCCTCGTTTGATGTCCGGTCGCAGGTAATTTATCCATCGGAGTCTGCAACTCTTCCCGCACCTCAACAAACCTGCCGGCGGCCATCCAGCAACATATATAACATCAAAAAGAAATACATACATATATAAAAGCCGCTAAAACTACAGTACACATTTATAATTTTAGGAGTGTTTGGTAAATATCTGTTATTCTCGAGAGATCGGGATTAGGATCGAATCCCGGGCAGAACGATATGATGAATATGCGTACCGGCTCGTTTGGGAAGAGCTCGCCAGTTGCCATGGCCGTGTCGGCTGATGTAGTCGACGAGGATTTGGTCTTCTTCCTTGGTCCAGGGACCTTTCTTCAGTCCCATCTTCTCACAGCACGGAGATCTCCCCATCTTTTCACTCTCTCCGGCGACCGGCCGGCCACCTCACTGTGTCACTGATATTGCTCTCCGCTCGTCTTTCAACTGCGCCATTCAAACTTGTAGCTCACTATATATACAAGCACCAGCCGGTAAATAAAGGCCCACGTTTATTGACACAAACAATATAATAATATAATTAACTTTTTTTTTTTTTTTCACTAGAAACTAATTCAAACTTGGCTTAAGTCGTGTTTATAATTTGGCTATTACTCACGAATGAAAAATATAGTTCGAAATTCTTTAATATAGTGAATATGTACAATAGTTCGCAATTATATTGACCTTTCACTTACTTTTTTTTTTTTTTTTTTTTTTTATGACAAGAAAAACTCACAGTTATTATTTGAGAGTATGTACAAGGTAAATATCGTTCTGTGTAATAGCCTGTAACTTATATGAAGTGAAACTAAATATTAGACAATTATTTTACGTTTTCCTTGTTATATTGGGTTATGCAGTTGTATACTCTGTAATTTATATAGTGTATTACTCTGTATTAAATAAGTTTGAATTCAAGTAGCTTGTAATTCAATGACACCTCTGTGACTCTTCCAAATGGGAGGTCACAAGTTCGAACTTTAGTGATAATATTGATTCTTTGTGCTTCAATTGAATCTCAAACTGAATTACCTCTCATTATTTTTGCTTGAAGTCTTGTGAGTGAGGTAAAATTATAAATGTATTCCAATTGACTAACAAATTTCCAAATTATTATATATTAGCGTCGCGACATAGTCAAATTTATACATTTATTTTTGAATGTTACTAGCTCTATTACATTTATACATTTATATTTTATTTTTTGGTATGATTTTAACTATGTACACAATATATGTTATTACATTGCGTAATTTCAAGGAAAGTAGTGGACCACATGTGGTGCACCACCTTGTGAGACACAATTATTTGTGGTCGGAACATTCAAATAACACGTGAGATATGTGTATATATAAACAAATAAATAAATTTAACTGATTGAATTATGAAATATAAGGTACAAATTTTCGTTATTTGAAAAACCTTCGAAACATCAATTGAAACAATAAACGTTTCGTCGTATGATTTAAAGGTTATGACTAGAAGTGATAGTGTTGGATTTCAAATTTTACTGGAAGTATGTATGAGAAAAAAGTTTAAGAATGCTTGAAGGTCTGGATTGGATCTGGCCAATCACTAGTGGGCTAATTGCGTGACTCACAATTTACTTCTGCAGTGATTCTAGGGACATGGTCGTGTGGCCTACACTACAAATAATATTCTGACTTACCAAGTTACTAAGATGGTTATTCTTGTGAGAGTTGCCTACTAACTTTCTGAAGACCTTGTGGTCTAATGGCACCCGGGTTGCACTCCCATATGGAAGGAAGTGAGTTCGAACTTTAGTGGAGGCGGCATTGACTCTTTGTGATTCAGCTGGTTGAGAAAGTAGTTTATGAATAGATAGATACTACATTCTAATAGTACTACATTCTAATAGAGTCAGTAAAACCATAACACACTGACACCTATAACAGATACTACATTTTAATAGAGTCAGTAAGACCATAACACACCAACACTATAACTAAAGACACCTATTACCTATAACACCACCACCACCCCAGTTGACACCTATTACCTATAACACCACCCCAGTTGCTCCTATAACACACCAACACTATAACTAAAGACACCTATAACACCACCAGTTGCTCCTTCACCGCTGCAGCAATCAATCTCAGTCCACTCTTTCTTCAAACTCTCGCTGGCATTACCATCTTTCTTTCCTCCACACGTAAGGAAGCCCACTTTTTACACCAAGACCTAAATGATCACAAACACTACCTTAACACACATCCCGCTCCATATATCTTCCACACTTTCCCACCTCAAGTTAGTAGTTGTAGGAAGAATATCACAAATTGCTCTCCACAAAAAAGTCTTCCATTTTGGGGTACCTTCATCTTCTATATAGTAATCCCTTTATCAAACTCTCATGGTGTATGCTCATAAATTCCCATAATATTTCTATAGGCCTTCTTTACCATATAAACTCCATTGGGGTCACCCAGCCAATACCATGAGTCCTCATATCCAGGACTTATAGGAATTCTTATTATTCGACTCACATCCTCATCATTAAACAAATCTGCTAAAATATGGGGATCCCAATTATTCGTGTGCTCATCAATTAATCCCGTCACTTTGGCGTTTCTTAGCTCTTCAGGCATGTCAGTCTGTACCAGTGGGCTGGGATCATCTGACAACCATGGGTGTCCCCAAATTAAAATTGTTTTACCATTACCAATCCTTCTTCGTACCCCCGCAACTACCATATCATGTGCTGCCATAATACTTCTCCAAGCATAACTCGGGCAATTTCCCACCCTGGCATCAATAAATGAGGTATGAGGAAAGTACCGTGCCTTATAGATTTTTGCAACAAGGGAGCTGGGGTTAGTGAGGAATTGCCATACTTGTTTTCTGAGTTTTTTGCACTTTTGGTCCCACGACTATAGTGGCACTAGCAGAATTGATCCACGACTTTTGAACCTTGCAATTTTTGTCCACAACTATTGATTTTTTTTTTTGCAAAAACAGTCCTTCCGGTCACTTTTCCGTCAAAATTTCACCGGGAAAAAAATTCTTCATTTCTAACCGGGCTAAAATTGACATTTTACTTATCTAAAAAAAAAATTGACATTTGACTACATACTAACAATATTACTGAGCGTGCAAGCTGTGAGCTTCTCCATTTTCTCTCATCCTGATGAGTTTCCATCTCATTCTGAGTGATGAGCCCGGATAACCCAACTAGCCCGGGGAACGTCACGGCCGCTCCGCCGCTTACTGACAGCCCTGCCTGCTCCAGGAACTCCGCCGCCTGTGGCAGTAGTATGTAGTCCAGTAATATTGTATGTAGTCAAATGTCAATTTTTTTCTTTTAATTTTTTGAGATAAGTCAAACGTCAATTTTAGCCCTGTTAAAAATGAAGAATTTTCTCTCTGGTGAAATTTTGACGGAAAAGTGGCTGGAAGTACCATTTTTGCAAAAAAAAAACATTAGTCGTGGACTAAAATTGCAAGGTTCGAAAGTCATGGATCAATTCTGCTAGTGCCACTATAGTCGTGGGGCCAAAAGTGCAGAAAACTCATTGTTTTCCTAACATAGCCAAATTGAATCCCCTGAGATCTTTAAAGCCTAACCCTCCAAACTTCTTAGGAATACTTAATTTATCCCAGGCTCTCCAGTGAATTCCCCTTTCTAAACCAGAACCCCACCAATATATGTTCATAGTCATTTGGATTGATAAGCAGACTGTGTCAGTGTAACACTCCCATTTTCCAAAACCAAATTAATTTATTAAAAGGCATTTATTTGATTTAGATTTCATTATTTAATTGCGGAAGCTAAACAAAACAAGGAAAACGGGATGCTACCGCCACGTTTAGATAACAGCCTATATCCAAACGCACAGGCTAAAAACAACCCATAATTAATACTAGTTCATTAAGTGTAAAATTACAATTGTCTAGAAACAACTTCCAAATTTTCTAACAAAATAAAACTCCAAAGCTCTAAAAGATGAATCGCTCTCATGCTCGAAATGTCATACAAGACGTACCTGCAAAAGAAACTAAAGGGGGGACAAATTCAGCATACAACAGCTGGTAAGACTTACTCCACCCTGTAAAACATTTTACACATAACACATAACACCTTGGAGCACATAATTCCACATTAACCCCTTAATCGTATTATACTTGCAATATTCCCTCCTACCATTTCTTTACATTTAATTACCAATTACCAAGTCAACCACATAATAAGTATAAATTAAAATTCATATAACGTTCCAGAATTTACCATATCATCAATTAATTTAACACAAAATACAATAACTTCCACGTTTGACCACTTTTCCCAATATTAGGATTTAATCCTTTATTTACCACCCAAGTCAATGAGGAGGAAAAATACAAGGCAAGAGCCATTACTTCGGCCCCAGTGACCAAAACCAACCAACCAGAGACCAACCCAGTTGGCACGAGATCAATCCCTTAAGTATGCATACCCCCATTGAGAGACCAACCCCAATGGGTAGAACGAATTCGATTGTGAGAGACCAACCCCACAAGGTATATAAAAATAATCCAGAACCAAATGTGAGAGACCAACCCCACACTGGTATCCATAATCAAATTGTGAGAGACCAACCTCACGAGAAAAATCCAAGTATAAATCCTCCATGACCAAAATGAATTAAATATAAGTTTTATACCAAATAATTTGTACTCTCCACCATAATCAAATATATATAAATATATGTATAACAATACACCGATTACACCATTTATCATTCCATCTACTAAGTACTCATACCATGTACTAATATGTATTACTATAATATATAACCTACGCACAAACTAATTGATATGCTTGAAATGTACATATAAACAAGTAATATATGTATTGATACAGTACACCAAATACACATACATAGTAATGCCCTTTAACATCGTACAGATCAAAATTATATGCACATCCTAATCAAACATTTTAATCAAATCTATATTTCTTGAAGTTGAAATATACTTATATTATCGAACATGGAATTAATTCGAACAGCCCAACAACATACGATGCACTAATATTACATATACATACGAATTAACATATATGGATTATTAAACATATATTCACGAATTACGATCATATCACATGTACCCAAACATACAGATTAAAAGTCCGTTCTAACATCTATATTATTTATTCAAACAATTTACATAATAAACACGTTTTTATGAAGATCACGAGCCACATAACAATTATTCGAAAATAATAATGAAATTGATTTTTGAGAGATTAAAAATATTTTGCACATAAATATTTAGTAAAATCAGTTTTTGATTTGGGGTAAAAGGACTTTGAGTAGACATAAATCTTACCTAAATTCTGAAATCAACACAAAAGCCCTTGAATCAAATCCTACGGTCGCTCCTCTGTAAACTTTCTCCTTCAAATTGATAAGAAGATATGTGAATTGACTATGATGATTGGCGATGTTTTTTTCTGCTGGTGAAGCCGATTGAGAAAAAAAAGAAGAAGAGCGTAGGCTGACGAAGAGGGGAAAGGATTTGGAGTCGGCTGACCAACAATTAGGTTTTTTCCTTTTATCTTTCTTTCGTCTGCCATACTAAGTATACAAATATATATATATATATATATATATATATATATATATATATATTAAAACTTAATTTAACAAAGTTTTAGCCGTACTGGACATAAACATATGTACTAAAGGTTTTTTTTAAGACTAGTTACTATTTTATATTAGTATGGGTTTAGGAATATATTAGGACGATCCCAAGTAATAAAATAAAATTTGGATACAAGGATTAAGTGATACAGTGCCTAAAAATATGAGGTATCACAGTCAGGAATTAAGAAAACACTCATTGAAAAAGTAGGCATTGATTGTGCTACACTTTTCAATAAAATTTTCTTACCTGCCTGTGATAGCAATTTCTTGTTCCATGAACTAATCCTTTGCTTGATTTTATCCTCAATATAAGCGAACACCGCTCTCTTATTCCTCCCAATAAAAGAGGGTAATCTCAGGTATTTTTCAAAGTTGGGCGCCTGGTCAACCTGCAAACATGCCGCCACTACATCCCTGTCATCCTCCCTGGTGTTCTTACTAAAACAGATATTAGATTTATGATAATTCACTTTCTGTCCTGACAACTCCTCATATCGCCCCAAACATTGCTTTATCACACCTGCCTCCTGAATATTTGCCTTGAAAAACAACAGACTATCATCTGCAAAAAAAATAGATGGGATATTGGGGGGGTCCCTCTAGCCACTCTACAGCCATGTATAGAACCAGCCATCTGCAATAACATAGACAAATCCTCGGCACAAATAATGAATAAATATGGAGAAAGTGGACCTCCCTGTCTGAGACTCCGGGTTGGGGTTAATTCGCCACTTCTAACGCCATTTATCAAAATGTTATATTGAACTGTAGTAACACATTGCATTAGCAGATTAATCCAACGATCATCAAAACCCATAACCTCAAGCATCCTTCGCAGGAATTGCCATTCCATTCTATCATAAGCCTTTGCCATATCTAATTTCAATGCTCCCCAACCAGTTAGACCACATTGTTTTCTATTTAAATAATGCCCCACCTCCGCAGTTATAAGAATATTATCAGTAATAAGCCTACCAGGAATAAAAGTACTCTGGGATTCTGAGATCAGATTCCCCATAAGTGGTTTCATTCTATTGGCTATTACCTTAGCCATAATCTTATAAAGCACATTACTTAGGGTAATTGACCTCATATCAGCCACTGTCTGTACATTCTTCTTAGGGATTAAAATAAATCACATTTGTGTTATTTAATCTTTCAGGGAACGAACCAGAATTTAAGTAATCCACAATAAAGCCAAACACGTCCCCAACAACAATATCTCAAAACTGTTGGTAGAAATCAGAGTTCATACCATTCAGTTATGATGCTTTGTCAGAGAACATAGTAAATAAAGCACTCTTGACCCCCTCCATTTTAAAGCGTTGTAACAAAGCATTATTTGGACAGGTGATAATGTATTACGACCCAAATTTTTCAACATCACATGGACGGCGGATGGATTAATTAATTTAATTTATGAAAACTACATCTCAAGGGGTTCATTAGTTGCATCATTTTGATAACCTTTTTTCACATTAAATTATTTAATGTTCTTTTCTAAGTTTAAATATAAAATGTTACATTGAATATTTAAATATAAATTTATTCAACTTTTGATCTTATCAACTGCATTAACATTTTTACTTGAGACGATAATTTCACATTTAATTTTCGACTATTGTAACATTATCGCGTTTAGTTATATTTTTAAATTTTTTTTATTACATCTCTGATTTTCATTTGTATTTTTTTTCTTTTTTGGTGAAGTTGACTTACATTTGTTTGTCATAGAGAGAGTTAACATGTAATTTCATTATTAAAGATTATGAGAGTAGAAGAGAAATTATATGTTAGGGCAAAAGGTTAAAATGATAAAATTACACGTTAGGCGTTAGCCCTCTTCTGTCAAAGTTGAAAGTACAAAAATTTAAATGAAACACTAAAATTTTAGCAAGCAAATGAAAGTTAAAAGGGATAAAGTACAAATAAGCCACCGAACTATTTGGGAAACAGCAATTAAGTCTTCGAACTCAAATAATCTCCAAATAAGCCATTGAGCTCAGAAAAAAAAAGTAATTAACATTTTTAACAGGTTAACTCCAGGTTTTTGCTGACTGAATTGCCAAATGTTTCCTTTATTTATGTTTTTCTATTATAATCCACCTACATAGTGATATATTTTAAAATAAGTATAATCAAAATAGTTTTGTATTGTCTAGATCTAATTTATTTAATTATTATTATTTTTTAAACATAAGATTAAGTGAAATAATAATAATAAATAAATCAAATCTCAACAAGACAAAACTATTTTGATTATAATTAATTTAAAATATATTACTATGTAAGTGGATTATAATAAAAGAAACATCAATAAAATAAACATTGGGTAATTCAGTCAACAAAAATCTAAAGTTAACCTGTTAAAAAGGTTAATTGCTCTTTTTTTTTTCTAAGTTCAATGGCTTATTTGCTCTTTTTTTTTCGAGTTCAATGGCTTATTTGGGGGTTATTTGAGTTCGATGGCTTAATTGTTGTTTCTCAAATAGTTCAGTGGTTTATTTGTACTTTATCCCAAGTTAAAAAGGCAATGTAGTAAAATTAAAAAAAAAAAAAAGATTAAATATGACAATAGCAAAGTAGTTGATTACTAAAAGTAAATATTACTCTTTTTACTTAGGAAAATACTACGTAGACTCTCATTTTCTACTCACAAATTCTACTGTCACTCTCAAATTCTTATGTGAACACTTTTTTAGGGGTTCACGTGATGGAACTAACATATATAAAACTAACATATCTTTATTTATTACATCAAGGAGTAAAATTGAGAAAGTAGAATTTGGAAGTATACCTAGTAGAACTCTTTTACTGTTTAGTATTTCTTTGATTTAGGAAAACTCTTTAGCATGTCTAACTAGTGACAAAATGTGTCAAATGAATTAAGTTCTTTGTTTCAAAAAAAAGTTAATTCCAAGAGTGGTTCCTTAACTATTGATGCTTATCAATTTTTATTCTAGATTCTTCAATTGAAAGTTGAAGATAAAATAAAAATTAATAAATATCAATAATATAGTTAACGGGTCATTTATGGAATTAACAAACACACTAACCTTCTAGCAATTGCAAAATTAATCAAAACATGAAGAGAAAATATATTTAATTGATTTTACCAAGGACCTTGTGGTCCAATGGTACCAAGTTAAACTCTCACACGAGAGGTTGTGGGTTTGAGCTTCAATGATGCGCTATTAACTCTATGTGCTTTAGTAGGTTGAGAAAGTAGTTATAAATCGATACTGTGACTTGAATCAATGCATGTATTAGTAGGTTGAGAAAGTAGTTATAAATCGATACTGTGACTTGAATCAATGCATGTATCATGCTGAAAATTACCTGAAAATTATGGAATTTTCGACCAACAGAAAGTGATCTTAAATCAAGTCGAAAGCCTTGTTCTGACCATTTTTGGTATCTGAAAAAACCTCTGTTGCTATTTCCGACCACTTTTTGCTTTCGACTTGATTTAAGATCACTTTCAAATTGTCAGAAATTTCATAATTTCCAGCTGTGTATATAGAATAGATATAATCTTGCCATTGAAAAATGTTATGTTGTTCATGCATGTGCACTTACTTACGGTTATTGACTAGAAGTCAGGCCAGAGATTACAAAAGTTTGTAAATATTTTCAAGTCACACATGAAAATTAAATGTATAATCCACAACTAAAAATGAAATTGACATTATATTTATTTATGAAGATAATAACACATGATAAAATTTAAAATATAGGTGCAATTGTGCTAAGAAAAAAATTGCATTTGTGTGAGACCATCTCACCGTCTTAATCTGTGCGACGAATCGAATTTAGGACAAATTTTGTTTTACTTATGACAGAAATCATAATACATATTACAGAAAATTTAATATTAATTTGAAATAAATAAATTGTTACTTAAATAGATTTGTAATATTTATATGTGAAATTGTAATAATATTTAGGGTAAAATGATTATTACTAATGAAAAAAATATTGTAATATTTATAACTGAAATTGTGATACTTATACAGTTTAATTCTAATATACATATTGTAATAGTTATATGTGAAATGTTACTTTCAAAAGAAAGTGTAATACTTATTATAGATAATTTAATATCAATTTAAATTAAAAATAAATCTTTAATTATGATAGTTATTGTAATACTTATATATATATATATATATATATATATATATATATATATATATATATATATATATATATGTGAAATTGCGATATTATTAGATCATGTTTGGTTAGATGGATAAAGTTTATTTGATGAAAACAAAAATTTCCTCCTTTTGGTTCATTGAAATTTTTTTTCCACATGAAAATGTTTTCCTTAGTTTTGACGAAAAAGTTTTTCAATGGGAGGGGTGATATTTTTTTAATGCTACTAACTCTATTACATTGTAGTAGCTGTTCAAACATATTTTCTCGATCTCATGACCTCCCACATAGAAGAGGTCACTACATGCCATCTAAGCATAAGGTGCTTGGCGGGTGGTATTTTATTTTCCATGAAAGTTGGAAAAAAAGTATTTGGACAATTTTGCGCTTATTACTTTTATTACCATTATTACTATTTAGGTGCATTTTAGTCATTACACTCATTATTCCTAACTATTCAAACTCCAACCAAACAATAAAATCAATCCCAAAAATTCATTTTTCACCAACCAAACCATGAAATCAATCTTCTTGATAATTTATTTTTCATGAAATTTCAATTTCATTTTCTCTCAAATATTTTTCGTGAATCAGACAAGACCTTAGGGTAAAATTAATTGTTACCAATGATAAATATTGTAATACTTATAAATGAAAATGTAACACTTACACACCTAATTGTCTACAATCTAATCCATCTCACGGATCCTCGCCACAAGATTTTGCCTAAAAAAAAAATAATTACATTCGTGAAAAATACTTTAACTCTTCAATTTGCATTATGAAAAAGAAAAGAAAAAAGAAGATCCATATAACCATAATATTATTCTAAAGTCTAAACATTGTGTTGGCGTGTAAAATTTGTGCAATATGCAAAGAACAATCTTTCTATTCTAGGCGTTATAAATAAGACAAACAAACTATACTGGATGCCAAAATAACCCCTCCACAACCCGTTTATTCCTGTTGACCCACCGTAAGAACGCCTAGGTACCAAGGCTAAATCGGTCATTACACAGTCAACTAGGAGTATTTAATTCTCTACTGTGCGGAACCTTCGAAGACGTCCCGTCCCATTCAACCTCCTTCTTCTCCCTCCCTTCTTTGACCCAATTGTCTCTCTCCCTCACGCACTTCACACTCACTGCGTGTTTACTGTTCTCTCTCTCTCTCTCTCTCTCTCTCTCTCTCTTCTGTTTTTTAATATACAAAAATATGTATATATGTAACGGAATAAAGAATGTTCTTTCGTTTACTTTGATTCCGATATTGTTCGTTTTCATCTACGCTGACTTGCTGTTGATTTGCTGTGGTTCCGTTCAATTCACGCACGCGGCAAGGGACCGGAGATGACGACGGAGACGGCGTTGCTGGAATGCCTGGTGCCGTCGTGGTGGGAGGTGCAGGTCACCGTCGTCGCCGCGGCGTTCTTCGTCTTCGCGTATTGGTTGTTCACACTCGGCGAATACGCCGGTGTGGACGATCGTGGCTCCGCCGGGGACTCTGTCGACGTACTTGAAGATAAAGACGAGGTCAGTTTCCACTTCGCTTTCAATTATCCGTTTTAGCCGTATTCTTGTTAGGAAACAAAGTTTGTTTTTGCTCGGCAATTGATCGTTGAAATGGTTGTCATGCTTTAATTTCTGGTTAAGTCGATTTCAGAATCAGTTGGTTAGGTGATCAGGGGGGAGCGGAGTGGAAGTTTCTGAGAAATTGTATTGGTTTGGAACTGAAGAAAGTGGCCTTTCTGGTGATATAAAATTTGAGAAAAGTGAAGCCTGTTACTTTGTTATTGTGTACTGAAACTTAGGAGATGAATATAGAATGTTGAACTCTCTAAGAGATAACAATGAATAACAGTGTTGTAGTAATATGTTTTGTACAGTAGTTATTGACTTCAGTAATATCAATTTAATTTTCTCAACTTCTGTCGAGTTATGGTTCTGAATTTAAGTAAACTTTTCATGGTGGATGAGCAAGTTAGAAAAAGCTCTTCTCTCACAAGCATAAAACAAAGTCCATGAGATATGCAATTTCTACCACAAAGAAGGGGTTAGTTCTGTAATTTCTTCTGGTTGATCAGTGAAATGGTGGTAATGCTTTTTTTTTTTTTTTATTATTAATTTTTTTTTTTGAAAGGAGGTGGTAATGCTTTAGTTTAATTAAAAGTTGCTGTAGTATCATGTGGTTAGGTAATATTGTAATAAGGGGAGAACTGGGTGGAAATTGTTGTGAAATGTGTATTGGTTGGGAACTAAAAAAGTGGCCTTTCTGGTGATATGAAATTTGAGAAAAATTAAGACCTTACTCTTTTTTTTTTTTTTTCCAGAAATTTAGAAGATGAATATGGAATATCTAAAAATTGAAGCAATACTGATGAATAACAGTGTTGCATTTATGTTAGATTTTAAGTTTTATTGGTTTTTTAATACTCCCTCCGTCCCATTTTATATGTCTGATTCGGTTAATGAGGTTTGATTGAAGTTATTTTTAATCCAATTGTCATAATATTAAGTTTAGTATTTGTATATAAAATTTATATATTTAGAAACTACATTAAAAGTACTATTTGTTTTTGAAAACACAAAAAATTAAGTTTAAAAATAATTTAAAAATACTAAAGAAAATAAGCAAATAAGAAAGAGTTGGTTTGATCAATGAATAGTAAACATGACAGGTAAAATGCGACCGAGGGAGTAGCTAATAATAATATTATTATGTTATATAGAGTAGTTATTGACTTCAGAAATATCAACATTTGATTTTCTAAAGTTATATTGTGTTATGGTTTTAATTTGAAGAAAATTTTTATGGTGGATGAGCAAGTTTAGAAAAGGCTCCTCTCCTTGGAAAGCATAAAATCAATGTCCATGAGAATATGTAGTTTTGTGTTGAAAATACTTTTCCATTTTCTTATTCATAGAGAAAAAATAAGAACACTGGAGTAAAAAGAAAACTTAGAAAACTCAACCTTGATTTTGGACAGAGTATGATACTCCGTACATAATTGATCATTTGATTGTCATTTTATATTACAGTCTAATGGCTCTGATCATATGCCCTACAATTTCCTATTAAAAGATGATGCATAACATCAAGAGTTGTAGTTAGCTTTTGGTATGGAGCAGTTGGTTAATATTCAAGATATTAAATGAATCTCATGAGGTAATATCATTCCTCAAAATTTGTCAATTGTTAGCAGCAAGTAATCTTTTTAACTTAAGTTATTTGTTGATACCTTACCTTGTCATAGAGTTTGAAATAAGTCCATGATGGTTTATGTTTAGAAGTGGTGTAAATTGTGAGTGATATAATGTTTAATTGCTACTAGCTCGCACAGGTATGGTCCCTTGAGTAAATTGTGTGCCATAATATGATATTCAGATGGCTGGTCGATTAAAATTTTTCGTTACCATTTTTCATGAAGTAATTTTCCACTTGTTTGACATGCAGTCCTGCACTTATTTTGTAGATGGGCCGGTTAACAGGTGATTACCAAAGTAATTCTGCATATGTAATTAAGGTACCTTTCAAACTTTGATAATACTTTTATGCCTTCTTCTTTCATGCATGAATCTATGTACCAAGATAAATTTAATTTGATAATCTGTTAGAAATTCATTAATTGATTACTTTTAACATTGCTATGCACGAAGGTGGAACTGTTAGCTGCTAAAAATCTTGTTGCTGCTAATCTCAATGGCACATCAGATCCATACGCAATCATAACTTGTGGTACACAAAAGCGTTTCAGGTAAAATATTTAATGTTCAGATCTTAGTACAGATGGAGTAGTGCACTGCATAACCTAGAATTGAAACTATGTAGAAGACAACTAGTCACCTTTACTTCTGAGTCCTACTACAATTCTGATTATTTTTCTGTACATTACGACATAAAGAGTAAGCATGTGGAGAAGGTAATTTCAAGATCTACTAATGTTATCTATATGGAAAAATATTTAAGTATCTTCATTTATGTCAACTTAAGGATGTTAAGGTGTTCTATATTCTGGGACTCCAGTTTGAGAGTGTGATTCAATTAGAATGTAAATGAGCCTGCTTTTATTTGTTTGTTCTTACATTTGAAATATCCATGAATATTATATGAAAAGTCAATACTTTTTAAAATCCCTATAATAGCTGACAGTTAGCTTCTCAAAAGATTGTTTTGCAAGGCTTGCCCAAAGCATCTTCACTTTGCAGAAGTTGTATGAGCTTTGTGAAAGGAAAATTTTAAAGATTCCTTCCATCCTCTGAAATGAGAAGAAAATTATACTCATGGATAATGCATAAACTTTGTGGGGCTGATAGTTAATTTGTGGTGTACCAATTGGCTAGTCACACTAAGATATAGTTTTACCTGGTTTGCAAGTTCAAAGAGCAGCAAAAATAAATTAAATAAGGTTTAAACTCTTTTAGAGTTTTAGTGCGATGGGAAATTAATAGATGGGCAGATCAACATATGGGCCTCTTAAGCTTTGTCAATCCACATTGTCCACGTAATTTGGGGGTCAGTGTGTTTCAATGTATGTTGCATGTAGTAACAATAATCAGCTTGGTGCTCTGTTTTTTGGATAGTACATAACTTCTTAAAAAATCAGAATGTTGCACTTTTATGTTGATTGACATTTTAGGGTAGTATGATTCTCTTATTTTCATAATTTCCTCCTGCCACTTTACTGGTTTGTTAGGCATCTATATTTAGAAGGATGTGATAAACAGGTTATAAAAGTGTCACAGACTCACAGAATGATAGAGTATTATTTAACTGAATATATATGGCTTCTAGTTCTGTATTGCTTGGTGTTTTATTCTTTATAGGAATCATCTCTGGTAACTTTTTCTGCCCACTTAATGTTTATTAGTTATTAAACAAATATGTGTTAATATACATATGATGAGATCCCATGAGAATAGTGCCTAGTGTGAGAAATGAGAATAAATCTCAGTCACTGAAGATAGTAGTCGGATGACATCTATACTTAAATGAACATAGCTTTTATTACATTATTTAAGAGAAAAAGAACATCATTTTGGGAGAAAAGGCGTTGTTTTGGATAAAAAAAAAAACAGCATCATTTTGGGAAAACCTGTTAAACATATTCAGAAGGGTGGCATTTTGTAAATATGCAGATATTTTTTATTTATTTATTTTTTATTTTTTGCATTATGTTGGGGAAAATCAGCATTATTTTTGTTTTATTTTATTGTTTTGGAATAAATAGGCATGGTTTCTTTTACATGTATTATTTTAGGTTAAATACACGGTATAAACATGTATTATTTCAGTCAACTTGCATTGTTTTGGCCTAAATACGCATGAAAAGATTAGGAAGCCTAACCACGCATTATTTTGGGATAAATACGCATGGTTTATTAATTCAAACTTCTATTTATTTACATAAATGCCACCTCCTCTTTTTTGGCCTAAATCTCACTATTCATTGTTTTAGATGGATGGCCAAGATTCCCCAATTGTTGTATCAACTTTAGTTGTAAATATGTGTGCTTAATTGATGCTTTTGTTACTGCTGCAGTTCAATGGTTCCTGGTTCTAGAAATCCTTTGTGGGGAGAGGAATTTAACTTTTCTGTTGATGAACTTCCTGTCAAGGTATTTTCTGTTGTTGGTGTTGATCGACATAGTTGATTATCGTAACTGTCAAGTCCATTTCCTAATTTTTCAGATTTTTTATGTCCATGTCATGTACATGTTGCCCTGTGCATGCAACATAGATTCTAGTTTATCAAACTGAGCTTCATAAGAAATCTGCTTTATTTTTATTTTATTATTTATTGCAGTTTCTGTATTATGTTTTCAATATAAATCTTTATTGATTACTGAATTCATGGCAGATCAACGTGACGATATATGACTGGGATATAATTTGGAAAAGTGCAGTTCTTGGTTCAGTGACTGTTCTTGTTGAAAATGAAGGTCCTACTGGAGCCATATGGCATTCATTGGATAGCCCATCAGGGCAGGTAGCTGTTGTTTATTTATATTCAATGCTTTGGAATAATAATATATCTTGTCTTTAAAGGACGTGCAAAGATTTCTTTGTACTGGAATTGAATCATGTCTTATTTGTTTTCCAGGTATGTCTTCATATTGAAACAATAAAATCAAATATGAATTCTTTTAGGTAAGTCTATTGCTTTTGCTGTTTTTTTGTTGAGATATTTTTGGACAAGACTTGCCTGTTTAGCCATTCAGATGTCTGGTGCTGCCTGGTTTGTTGTATTGTATGTTTGGGGCGGTCTTATGTTTAGGCTCTTCTCCAGAATGGCTCACGGGATTGCTGCTTTTCTATCTATGGAATAGTCAAACTATTTGAAGATGATGTGAGTTTGGGTTTAAGGGAGAAAAACTAAAAAAGGCCATGTGGTAGGCAAACACTTACAATTTGTGTGCAACTTTTGAATAATAAATAGCAGATTAACCTTAGTTCTTATGAGGCTGGTTTCATTATCATATCTATATACAATAGAACAATTTATTTGGCTGTTAATTAATCTTTTGAATCTTGATATTTTGTTCTAATAGTTACTATCATGCATGTTGCAACTCTATAATATATTGATGTGCTGCCTTAAGTTATTCCTTTTTATGAAGTTATTTATCTCTATATTTTTCTTTTCTATCATCATACTTGTTATATTTGTACTTTTAAAAAATTTGTTGATTTGACTTGTAATTATGGCCATAGGAAGAATACTTATGAATGAAAATAACTAAGTGAAGTAACTGCTAAGCAACTGAGAAATTTGTATCCCTAGTTACCTACTAACTAATTGATTTGGGACTTCTTAATAAGCAATTGATTGCTGGATTTTGTAAGTTGAAATGTAACCATCAAAATTGAACCTAACCATTAAAAAATTAATGTTTATAAACAATTGGGTGATGATTTTTCTTTGTTCTTTTCTAGGGGTTTGAATGGCTTTGGTGGTCCTAATACTCGAAAGAGAGTTAATTTGGATAAACAAGGGCCCACAGTAGTTCACCAGAAACCAGGGCCACTGCAAACAATATTTGAACTTCCTGCTGATGAGGTAAATTATTTTTCTTGAATTTATTCATCTTCTTTTAAATTATGTCAATGTTTGTAATTGTAGGATTCGGATAAATACCTACTTGGAATTGCTAGTGTTTACTACAGTCTAGTTGCTCATCTAACTTGAGGGAGATTCCAGGTTGTTGAACATAGTTATTCTTGTGCACTTGAGAGATCTTTTTTGTACCATGGGCGCATGTATGTCTCCTCATGGCACATCTGCTTCCACTCTAATGTGTTCTCAAAGCAAATGAAGGTTGGCATCCTTCCCTATTGTACAATGGTTTGTGTTTCACTTTTGGAAAAAAAAAAATGTAAACAGTTCATATTACCTACTCTACAGCTTTTTATCTGAACACACCTGCAAGATCTTTTGAAAATTTTTGTTCTCTTCATCTTGATGGACTTTTAGGACATGGTTATGCCATTATGGATAGTTGAAATGTAGAGTACTAATACTGTAATGGGCAACATGAACAATAAATATTGAGCATAAGGAGCCTCTGTGTGTGCACGCGTGCGCAATGGAACCAAACATCATAGGACTGTAACGTTCTTTTACAATGTAAATAACTAGACAGTTGAAGGTTTTTAACTTTTATTCCTTTTCAGGAAGTGTGTTTCCTATACGTTCTTTATCATCATCTCAACATCTGGACCAACATTTTATGTAATAAGATTACCAATTTCTTCCCTGTTTCAAAATATACTAAATGTCTTTGTGTTTCTTGTTTTCAGGTAATCATTCCTTTTGGTGAAATAGATGAGGTATATATTTTCTTTCACACCTCATTATGATTGTGCCTGTTTGGTGTTAATTTGATATGAGTCTTTCTGTTGGTGGCTTCTGGACTGTTATTGTATTTCATCAATTCTTTATTTTGCATTCCAGATTAGGAGGAGTCAGCATGCATTCATTAACCCTGCCATCACAATAATTCTCCGTGTGGGTGCAGGTGGCCATGGTGTGCCACCTTTAGGAAACCCTGATGGTTAGTAATTCAAGTTACAAGAAATATTTTCTTTGCAACAGCTGCTTGCCTGTATTTCATTTTTCCATTGCATTTGCTGAAAAGGTCAACTTGCATTTATTTAATTCACATTACCTTCTTTTAACTGTTTGTTTCTACATCAGGTAAATTCCATGCCTATTTTTATTATCCTTACAAAAATTTGTTTTATGGAGTTCGATTTAGGATTTAGATTATATTTGCTCTCAATATCACAAGGTTCTAGAATATATTTCTTCTCCAAGATGTCTGATGATTACATTCCTCATCCCATTTCTGTATTGGGTCCTATTTATGCTCATATAGTTTGAAAACAAGGATAGCCTATCGAAAGAGAAATTATAAAATATGGTGTGCATTCAAGAATACTTACAAGGAAAATCACTGTCTTTTGATGGTTAATTAATGGTCTAACTGATCTATGTTTAATTCATCAATGCTTCAGTGACTACTGGCTATGTATTTGTTCCCTAACTTTTAGGGAATGGGAGAGTAAAATTAGTCAAATTTATTGGTGAATTATGAAATGACAACCCAAATATGTTCATTCTTAGTGTGAGCATATTTTATTACACAATGCACTGATTGAGCACAAGATACTATTTGTGCTAATTTTTGTTACACCGTGTTGAGTCAGGATGGAAACGTTCAGTCTTTTCATTTTGGTCCCTCTTTTATGTTATTTATTATCTGAGCTTATTTGATCATGATTACCTGTAAAGTGAAAGCAGTCAGCATGTAATTCATCATCTCAACTTGAAGTGGTGTTAGAGCTATAGTATTTTTATGGACCTATATAGAATTTTTAGATACTAATTTTAAGCTGATCCATGTTTATGTTTGTAAGGATGCCAAGGAATGAATCACTTGTCCTTCCTCTATTTTCAGGTAGGGTCAGGTATAAATTTGCTTCCTTTTGGAACAGAAACAATACACTGCGAGTTTTGCAACGTGCAGTAAAGAACTATCATGCAATGTTAGAAGCCGAGAAAAGGGTTTGTTTTCCAGATGTTGATTAGTCTTTCTGCATTATATGTATCCATAATTTACTTGGTCATGATTTTTAAAAAGTGGAACTAGGCTTTTCTTTTTGGATCTAATATTCTCATTTAACACTCCAGAGAAGAATAAAGCCATAATCCATATGGACTCAAAGCGTATATGTTGCTTTGTTGGTCAAGCTTTATCTACTTGGGTTACTAATATCAATGGAAAACTGTACTCATTTTTTCACCATCCACTTTTACACAGGAGAGGGAACAATCAGCATTACGTGCACATAGCAGCTCTATTAAGGGAGGTAATCAACTAGCTCAGAGTCCAGAGGAAAGTGTGCCAAAGGCAGATAAGTTCCAATCGTTCATTAAAGAGGAAGTGCTTTCTGGTATATATAATGTATGTCTTATATTCAAACTCATCCTTTCTTGGACATAAATCTATTGTTTAAATAACAAATAGTTTATTTATTTCTTCTGATAAATTATGAAAAATGTTAGGATATTTTCCCATCCACTGCTGAGGAATTCTTTAGAATACTGCTGAGTGATGGCTCAAATTTCACACAAGAATATCGTGCAGCACGAAAGGATTCCAATCTCACTGTAAGTTCCAAGATTGATGATAAAATGTACTTGAATATCTATTCATAAAATCATATGTGCTGGTCAGAAATTAGGCACTTAGTATACATTGGGAAGGTTGCATTATGTTCATTCCCATATTGTTTAGAAATTTATTCCCATATTGCTGAGTTTCTGAAGTAATGAAATGTAAACATGATACTAATATTTAAGGCTAGTCATATGGCTTTGTTTCTTTTTAAAGATGGGTCAGTGGCATTCTGCCACAGAGTATGATGGTCAAGTCAGAGAAATTAAATTCAGATCTCTTTGCACCAGCCCAATGTGTCCACCGGATACAGCCATGACAGAATATCAACATGCTGTTCTATCACCTGATAAAAAATGGCTGGTAAGTATTATTATCATAACCTTTCCATGAACAGCCGGTGCTGCTGTAATTTTTCTCATAATTCCACTTTGCATTTAGAAATTTCCCCCTTTTATTTTTCTTTTTTGATAATATTTTTACTATTCCAGGTGTTCGAGACTGTACAACAGGCACTTGATGTACCATTTGGATCCTACTTTGAGGTAGGCTAAGCTTGTATCTATCATGCTATGGGTTTCATATTGTTGTTCTCAAATTTGTGGATTTTTGCTCAAAACTACAACTGTTTTTATTTTTATTTTTATTTTTATCCTATGTTTGTGAACTCAAATTTGTGGATTTTGCTCAAAACTACAAATTTGTGGCCCTATGTTTTTATACTACTTGAAGTGTCTTTATGATAATTAGTTATGAGAGCCACACTGAAACATGTAGAATTGTCAATGATTATCTCTTTACAGGTTTTTTTCATCCATCTTGCATCTTTTGAACCAGGATATATAGCTTTAGAAGTTGATAGAAAAGTGGATATAGAAAATTTCACAATTTTCATTTGATTTCTGATTCCCCAAATATGATTGTGTTTTCTTGGTTCTCACATTTATTGGTAACCAGCTCTTTAGTATGGTGTATTGGCAAGATTCTTCTTGTTATATAGTTTTAAGATTGGGTTAGAGTCTCTCAATTAGGCTATAATGCACATAGGCCAAACTACACTAAAAGATTGAATCCAACCAATTAGCTAGTCTAACCCATGACCTTATAAATCTATATATTCTCTCTTATTTTTTCAATGTGGGACTCTTTAACACTTCTGAAATAGTATGCTAGTTGCAATCTACTGACTTGACATGAGTGAATTTACTTCTATGCTTCCTTTCTGTATTTATTTTTGGTAGAAACCTGGCCATACTTATGAAAAAAAAAAAAAAGAGAGACAATATAGAAGAGATACAAATCGTACTTCCCAGCAAGAATATATCCTGCCCCTTAACTAAAGTTGCTTCCTATTTCCTCATGCCCGTGGTGACTACTTTTGTTAGTTTTGTTGTTTTTCCGGGGCTCCGCCCTCCCTTATTTATTTTTTTTTTAAAAAAAAAAACTTAAGTTGATTCCTATTAATAATTTTCTGCATACATACCTTTGAAGAGAAGGTGTTATTTATAGTCCATAAAAATATTTTTTTTTTTAAAAAGGTAAGAACCAATCAAACATAAGTACTCAATCAAGGGTAGTTAATCGATCTTTAAATCCTTGATTTTAGCTCCTCAAGATCATGCAATTTGGATACCTTAGTTCCCTATCAGAACCTCATTTATTTTAACCAACCAACCCATGTATTCTGATTTTTGACCAATAGAGTTATTTTGAGTTGATTTTTCATAGTGTTGAATTGGATGTGTGAACTATATCTGAACTCTCTCTATGCAGAAATATTCTAATTTTTAGTGTGTTTATTCAACTTGATTGCTGAGTACATTTGCTTTCATCAGATTCATTGCAGGTGGTCTTTGGAAACAAATTCTGAATCCTCTTGCTCTATGGATATAAAAGTTGGTAAGTTTCCTCTATCCTACACTAGAAAGATTTTAGGGGTGTGTTTGGTTTATGGGTTTACACATTAGGAATGAGAATCAAAATCATAGTTAGTGTTTGGTTGACAACTTTTTACAACACAATTATGAGTTTTGATTACCCCTTCAATTAAAAATTTTATTATTTAATTAAAAAAAGGTATTATTCCATCTTACTGGTAATCTAACTTTTAAGTTTGGATTAGTACTTTTAGATTTTAGTTTTGATTTTTTTTTTTTTTCATATTGATGCTTTGGATGTCATTGTATTAGGATCAATTGCCTTGATTTTTTGTTTTCGTATTTTTAAAACATTTATTCCCATTATAGGGTCATATAACCAAACATCAATTCGGAAATCATTCTAATTCCACCATACTAAAGTGCAAAATACTTTCACCAAAAGACTAGGGGGTGTGTTTGGTTGATAGGTTTAGTTCTAAGGAATGAGTATCGAAGTGATTGCTATTGTTTGGTTGATAGATTTTTAGAACACTACTTTTCTCTCAAAAAAAAAAAAAAAAAAAAAAGAACACTACTATGGATTTCAAATACCCTCTTAATTGAAAAACTCATATCCAAATAAAATAGCAGTATCATCCCCTTTCATTCCCTTATTCCTTCTCATCTCATTTGATTAGTGCTTTTAGATTTTTATTTATTTTTTATTATTATTTTTTTTGTTCATATTGGTGTTTTGGATGTCATGATATTTAGAATCAATTGTCTTGATTTTGTGTTCTTGTATTTTTAAAATCTTTATTCCGATTGTTGAATCATACATAATCAAACATCATTATTGATAATCATTTCCATTCCACTCTACTACCAAACATGCAAAATACTTTCACTAAAACTCATTACCATTACCAAGTATTTGATACCCATTCCGATTCTGATTCCCATGTGCGAACCAAACACACCTTAGGTTGCCTCTTGTGTTTTAAGGTACTGCTATCTGTCAAACACCTAGGCTAATGAAATCCTTCGGTCAAAGTACCTATAAAGTCTCTGTACTATAGTGTTTTGTTCAATTTAGTATTTGTATCTTTATTCTGTTTCATTTAGTCCCTTTATTCATAGTTATCATGGCGTCGCCTAGGCGACGCCTTGGCGTCCTGTCGGTGGAGATAGGATGCCTGGAGGCTTCGCCTCGCCTGAAAATGGTGAGGCGAGCTCCGGCGTCGCCTTTGCATCCCAGACGGCGCCAAGGACGCCGATTCGGCATCCAAACCCATAAACCCTACCCATTTTTAACTTTATCTTTTTTAAAAAAAATGGTATGAGAAGAAGAAAGCCAACCCAGTTACCCACAGCCACCGCCGTCGCCGTCCCACTGCCGTGGGTCGTCATCGGTGCTTCTTTCTTCTCCCACCGCCGTCGTTGACTGCCATTCTTGATTTTTTTTCTTCCTTTTCCTTCTTTCTTTCTTCTTGGCTTCTTCGTTTAGACTTATTTACTTTATATTTACTTTATTACTCCTAGAAAGTTGTAGCCTTGAGAAAATGAATAGTTTTCTGCTTCTGTTTTGTAATGAAAGCTACTGCAGCTACAACTTCCTAGAATATAATAAATAAGGCTGCCTATTTCCACTGCCTATTTTCACATATATTATATATAATTCTTCCCAATATATATTCTCATATTATTATTATTATATTTATATAATATATATAATATATAAAATATGATGACAGTAATTGTTGTATAATATGAGAATATATATATATATATATATATATATATATATATATATATATATATATATATATATATATATATATATTACTCATCGCCTAGGCGACAAGGCGGTCGGGGAGCGCCGCGACTTAAAAGGGCGCCGTGATAACTATGCCTTTATTTTAAAAAGTAGTGAAATTAAGGATAATAATTAACAGTGTTAATATTACCGTTAGCTTAGTTTATGTGGCGCTGACATCATTGTTGCCACATCATGATATTTATATTATAACTCATATTAGAGTTAAATTCCATTTTTGGTTCTAGATTTATAGGTGATAATCTATTTTTAGTCCTTTTTCAAAACATCCATATTTGGTTCTAGTATTATTCTGGCATGATCATTTTTTGTCCTCCGTCAACAAAATTGTTAAAATATCGTTAAATAAAAGACAATTTCGATCAATAAAAATATTGTTAACCCGTTATATATATATATATATATATATATATATATATATATATATATATATATATATATATATATATATATATATATATATATATATATATATATATATATATTTTAATGTTTTTGAAAAACTTCATAATTGAAGACCTAAATGTCGTTGTATTTTACAAAATTTAAACGATTTTATTTATATAGGACAAAAAATAGTCATGCAACAATAATACTAAGACAAAAGATGGATGTTTTGAAAAAGGAGGACTAAAAGTGGATTATCGCATATTAATCTAGGTAGGACCAAAAATGGAATTAACTCATATTATTTTATAAATATTTAAAATTAATTATTTTTTCCACTAATATATTATTACATTAATATGTCCAAAAAAATAATTACAAACATACTAACATTAAGTGTTCAAATCTCATTAGGAACATGTGCTTGTAATTATTTATTTTGTATATACTAATTTAATATATTGGTGGTAATAAAATGCTAATTATAGACTTGCCCAACATTGTTAAAACTGCTAATTGAAATCTGTTCATATTGTTAAGTGACTGCCTGTTGAAATCTTCACTTCTACCTACTTTTTACCGGGTTTCTATTTTCTTCATTACATCCCTTCATCGCATTTTATCAGTATACCCCGTCTGTCCCTAAAATAGTTGCAAGTGTGATTTTGTTTTTTTTGTTTTTTTTTTTTTAATTCAATGAATAAGGAACTCTTTCTTGATATTTTCAAAACACTCAATTTTAACAGGTGCACATTTTAAGAAATGGTGTGTAATGCAGTCTAAAATTAAGGCTGGTGCAATTAATGAGGTATGTCTTGAATATGGTAAGCTGTTTCCTTCAAATATTTTGCAATTCTCAATCATTCTCCCTACCTTTTCTCACTTGTCCAGTATAAAAAGGAGGTGGAGCTAATGTTAGATGTTGCTCGTTCATATATTAATAAATCCAAAACTCCTGTCAATGAGAACGACAGTTTTGCGTCCGTGCCATCAGTTACCGAAGAGAGATAAGTTCTGAGTACATAGAGAGAGTTGCAGTCTGTTGTAATTTTTTTAATTGTTGTTGAATTTATGTGTTGTGTTCGTTACCCTATCTCCATATGGAGATAAGTGGTGCGCGGTGTAATTCTTGTGCCAGCAAACTGTACAATTTTGTGTTAAATTTTATTAAATAATAATTATATTAATGACTATAAGAAGTAGAATTTATTATATCTGTTCGTTTCAAATCTCGTGAATTCCTCATTTCGTCTAGATTAGGGCACTATTAGCATGTTGAAAATAAGTGTGTTTGCCTGTTTGGTTCGCAAATGGGAATTGGAAACGGAATGAGAATCAAATACTTATAATGGTAATAAATTTTGGTGAAAGTATTTTGCATGTTTGGTAGTATGGAGTTGAAATGATTATCAACATTGATGTTTGGTTATGTATGACTCTATAATAGAAATAAATGTTTTAAAAATACAAAAATAAAAAATCAAGTCAATTGATCTTAATATAATGACATTCAAAGTATATATAAATAAATAAATAAATAAAACAAAAATCTAAAAATACTTATTCAAATATAAAAATTAGATTACTAATAAGATGGAATGATACCTCTTTTTTAATTAGGGAATGAGGTTTCTTAATTGAATGAGTTATAAAATTTCATTGTTGTGTTTTAAAAAATTGTCAACCAAACACTAGCTATAATTTTGATTCACATTCTTAATGTGAAAATCCATGAACCAAATACACCCTAAATTTTATTTTTGCTTACATGTTTTAATTGGAGAATGTTGAATTTAAGTTGAAAGAAGAGGTAGCAATGCAATCATTAGTACATGGATCGTGGTCCACACAGTTGTATTTTAAGGGGTTATTTGGTTCATGGAATAGATTATCTTCGAAAATATTAGATTGCTGAAAATATTAGATTTCTGTGTTTGGTTAAAATTGAGGTATACAATATAATCTTGTTTGGTTTAAGATTATCTTATATTTATGGTCTACAAAATAATTTGCCATAGCAATGTGAGTTAGGGCAAATTATTGTGTGGACCATTATCTACACAGTGTTATATGAACCATAACAGAAAGTACATTTTTAATATATTAAAAGTACATTATTTGTGAACTGAATGTACATTATATAAAATAATGTATTTTTAGTATTCAAATAGTATACTTTTCTTGAATACAAAGTACATTTTAATATACTAAAAGTACATTATTAATATACTAAATGTACACTATTTTATAGCATAAAAATATAGCAATTTTATCATTTTGGAAAAATTAAAAAAAAAAACATAATATCATCAATCGTATTTACACATTATTGAAAACCTCTTTGTAGACGACATTGGTTGTCGCAACACAATCTTGTCTATCCTCGTCTAGAGTTAACACCTCCAGGCCATCAGGATGGGTAACTTGGGAGAAAACCACGTACAATTGTCTGTGATTAAAGACCGATTTTTTTTAGCAATAACCCAACGTGAGTTAGTGTTTGGCTTTGGCTTTTGTTGATAGTCATTACATATGCAAGCCCCATCAACGGGAATTATTTACGCTGAAACTTGAAGGGCAATATCGTATTAGAAGGAGTGAGAGACATTCGCGGGATAAGAACTTTGGTTCCTTCACGTGTCCCATTAACTATTATTGCTTCGACAATGTGATCTGTCAATCTTGTGATGATGAGTCGTGTCTTGTTACAAAGACCAAGAGAGTGGTCTATGTTCCGCAATAACATAATAGATGCACCGACCTTTAAAATGTCAATGAATGATTAGAAAGACCCGACAATCTCAAACTATTTAAGAATTCAGGAGTGTGTACTTCTGATAGATTTTCGCTGTCTGATTCTACCTTACACAAAGAATCACAACTTAAAAACGTTCGTCCTTCTGCAGTATTCATGTTGCACATGTACTGATGAATTTGATCAACGACATCTAAAGTCGGCGAGAGGATCGCTCGGCCTTCTAGATGCAACTCATTAAGCATGCAACATCTCGAGCTTGTTAACAAAATCTGCCCGAATATCGATCTCAGATGAACCGCCGTTTACAACCCCTGCAATCCCATCTCCGATGTTTGCAATCCATTTTGAAAGCCAATCAATCGTCTGTCTATCTTCCTCTAAAGCTAAGGTCCGTAGTCTCAAGTTATTGGTGAGCCTTAATACCTTGCAACTTGGTGTCGACCCTTCTGTTGGAACCAATCTTCCAATCCAGTGATAATTTTGACCACTAATCCTAAACACTAGAAGAGCGTTACCGGTGTTGAGTGACCTATCGACTCTACTGCCCAGAGACGTGAAGTAGAACATGTTGTTATACCTTCGAATATTACTGAGGAAGAGCCTACTTCTTCACTATCACCAAAGTAATGGCTCTGGAGCACATGAGGAAGATCCTTCATGCGAGGTAATTAGATTTTGCTCTCATAGCAATACTTTGTGTATTTTGGAAATGCACGTGTTACATTTTGATTTGAGTGCTCTTGCCACCAAAATAAAGTCCCACGATAATTACACGAATGAGTGGCATCTCCAAAGTCAAAATAACAATCTGACAACGTAAACAACTTACAATTAACACACATTATTTATATTGTGAAAAAAAAATGAACAGAACAAACATTTGTATTTAAAGGAAAAAAAAAAAAAAACTGACCATATCCATTATTTTGAGACTCGACCTATTTGAAATCCATGTTTAAATTCCTCCAATTTGTTCGTGACGATGACTTACTGAAATTTCTTACAATTGACTGCGGAACACGATTACGCCGACGATGCGATTCTCTTTCCACTTTAATAAAATAGAATAATGAATTGTATACTATAAACCAAAATTTGCATATAATTTAACCTATTATGTTATATTATATTTTTGAATAGTAGTACCTTTGATGGGTATATTAATAGGTGTTGAGGGAGAGCAAAACGTAAATCCACCAAACAATGCTTCATTACCAGCTACTACAGTTATTTATATTGAGGAAGAAAAATTTATGACTGCATGCATTTCATACAGAAGAAAATAGGCGCGTAGGCTATTAGAAAAATAAATTTGCTCACCATTAAATCTTGGATGAACTGGATTAAATGCTAAAGAACCAACAGTTGTTTGCAATATCGGCGCATTTTCTATAATAAAAAAAAATACAAAAAAAATCAGTATTTAGACAATTCTTATAGAATGATTCGTATTTTAAAATAAATACACAACTATGAATGCATCTCCTATTTGCAATATTAAATCTTATATATTAATTGGATGTATATTATTTGGTTTGCTAACCATTGCAATATTTTTGAGAAATAATAAAATCAAATACTTACATAATAATTAACACATTAATTATAGTAAATCAATAATTTAAAACAACTAATAATCAAAATTTGTATACAATAAAATGTTAAGATTATGTCTCTATTTAGATAAGTAATTAATTATATTGCAGTAAGTCAAACAAAATTTGTATAGCAGTATTAGTCATTTAGTCATGTGTACAACCCTATAGGTTGGCACTATCCGCCAATTCAACTCTTCTTTATCAATGCTAATATGCTATAGACCAGGCTGTTAGTGGCAAATTCATAAAAATAGTGACATAATATTACGCAAATCTAAGTATTATTTTTATAATTTGCAGATTTGCAAGTATTATGGGGATGATTCGATTTGTGTTTTTATACAAATTGGAGTAGTGCCAGAATAATATTGTTGAATAGAAAAGTAGGAAATAATATATTCTATTACGAATTAAATTACACTATTTTACAATATTAGAATAGGAATTTTAACGTAGGATTGTAGTACAAATAGGAAAGTATAAAAGAATATATTCTATTACGAATTGTATTACAGTATTTTACAATATTACGCAAACCTTAATAGTATAAGACTGTTTTGGGCGGGAAGTTAAAATTGAGGATTTTGTTTTTATTAATAGTATAGATATAGATTAGATTAATAGTAAAAATAATGTGTAGAAATAATTTTAGAACATTATGGCTTCTCGAATAACGGATTCTTTTATATTTTTTCTACTTTTACTGCTAACCTTATTATTATTAACAGAACGTTTGGTTGGAAGTAAGGAATTAGAGTGGAAAGGAATTACAATTCGGTGGGAAAAAGAATAAGGTGAGAATAAAGTATGAATTCAAATTACATTGTTTGGTAGGGATGAATAGAATTATTGGGTAGGGAATGAAAGAAGTTATATAAAGACTAAAATGTCCTTGTGTAATAATAATAGTAGTAATAATTAAGGGTACTTTTGTCATTTCATCCATTTTTCCTTTCCCACAATCACCGAATTGCAATTCATAGGGGGTGCCCATGAATTGCAATTCAGCAAAAGGAGGAAATTGCAATTCTGTGGAATTGCAATTCCCTCCAACCAAACGGCGTAATTGTGGCTTCCACTGAATTGCAATTCAACTACAGCCAAATTACGCCCAACCAAACAGGCCATAAGTGTTTGGGCGGGAAGTTGAAAAGGGAGATTTTGTTTTAAATAATAGTATTAATTGATTGGAGTAGTGACGGAATAATATTGTTGAATAAAAATATGAATTTTAATGTAGAGTTGTAGAACGAATAGAAAAGTATTAAATAATATATTCTATAAAATTGTATTGCCAAGCACATTGTGCTTAAATGGCATGTATTGATCTTTTTCATGTGGGAGGTCATAAGATTAAGCCTCAGTGGAGGCGTTGTTGACTCTGTGTGAAAAAATTAAAAGGAAAACATGATTGTTTTTATTTAATAGTATAGATTTTTCCTTCTAATGTGGCTTTCATTCATTGGATACTCATGAATTGATTGACCCCTTTGAGTCACCATGATTTACATCCTCCCAAATGCTCTGTCGGGCTGGAGTGTGAGGGACCCTTAGGGTTGGGGTTCAACCTTTTGAAAGAATGAATTGATTGACCCCATAACTAATTAAAAAATTAGTTCATTATAAAACCAACCAGATATGTCAAGAGGGAAAATTTGTAAGAAAAATAAAGGAGAGTATATATCATTATTGTATATAAAATAGATGAATAGATTACATGGAGAAAAAAAAAAAAACAATATTGATGAGAAATGTTTAACAATGTTCTAATTGTACATTATATTATTAACATTCATGTTGATAGTACTTGGTATAACAAATATATATATATATATATATATATATATATATATATATATAAAAGAGCGATCATATGTGGTCATGCCATTAGGTGTGGCGGTGTGGTCGTATCTGTGTCGTTGAATCAATTAATCTAACGGCAGTGGCTAATGTGAGGATTTGAGGATTTTCGCGCGTGGGGGTGTTATGGTAATTACAGTGGCCATTTATAGCGGCTAGGTTCCAGTATACACCAACAGTGTTGACAACATGCACCAATAGTGTAATAAAACACACCATAGTGAAACACACCAATAGTGTATTCCCGAACACTGTATGATGTATTTATTAATATCTAATGACGCGTTTTTGGTGATGCGGCGTACCTAATTTTTGTATGTTTTTTGTTGTGCATTTCATAACATGGATTGTGTATATTTGTATAACAATTGGTGCGACCGCACTGACCACATGGGAAGGTGTTGCCGCACCTAAACTTGACACCAATGGGAATCTACAAATACACCAGAGTAAGGCTAATAATGCACCAATTACACAAATAAAACACACAACAATGTGATTTTCCCTATTCCGGTGCCTTATGACGAGTTTACCCTTGCAGTTCGCTGGGTAGGAGAATGTGCGTAAAAATACTGGAAGAATCTTGATTAATGTGATTCATTGGATCTATCTAATCTAATCTAATGGCTTGTAATTGACCATATGACCACACCTAACAACATGGTCACATGTGATCACCCCTATATACAGGGACGGAGGTACCTTAGGGGGTAGGGGGGTCATGGCCCCTCTCCCCACCCCTACCCTACCCCTACCCCTACCCCACCTTAAATTTTTTAGTAAATATGTATGTATATATTGATATACTAGGGATAAAATACACTTTTGGCCCCCCTCTAATTTTTTTTTTTTAAAAAATAATATATTATGTTTATATTAAATGAACTCAAAATATATATTAAAGTTCAAATTCATTAAACAAAAAGAAATGAATCAAATAATTAAAGTGATCATTTTTCTTTATTATCTTATTTCTTTTATCAAGATTTTAATAACGAATGGCATCAAGTATACATTTTAATATAAAAAATTCTCCAAATTTGAGATAAATGCTTTGGTTTTATTAGTTATATATGTTGATTAATTAATTAGTGATTTATTGTGTGTTTTAATTATTTATTTACATTTTTAACATGTACATTTGCTAGTTTAAATGATTAGTTTTAAAATTGACAAAAATTAATATTGATTATTTAATTGGTCTTGATTTTTTTCTTTATCTTTCAAATTTTGAAATATTCAGTTCACCAGTAAAATGAATATAAGTTAATTATGAACAAATTTGGTGACAAAATAATTGACAAAACTTTTTATTTGATGTTAAGTGACAATCTATATTTAAATAAATGTTGTTATTGTTATTATTATATTTTGTGTTATGTGAAAAATTTCTAAAGTAATGATCGACACTTGTATCGATCATACGCATATAATTATGTATTTCATACTTTATTACACATAGTATAATTAAAAATTATTATCAATAATAATCACAATAATGTATAGTATATATAATAATATGGTGCGATTAGTTATAATGTCGACTAACATTGTAAATTTTCTCTACTACATCGGCCCCCCAACTCTAGTTTTCTGGCTCCGTCCCTGCCTATATATATATATATATATATATATATATATATAGACACACACATACACACACACACAGGGTCAAGATCTTGTGTAGTTATTACTTCTCATGTGGTCGTGCAAACATGTCAGAGCTGTAGAATGAGTCGTAAAATGCAAAGGCATTTAGGTCTTCAATTATAATTTTTAAAAATATAAATAAAAATAAAAATATAATTTTTGTATTAAAAAAAAAAAAAGATAGAAATATCCTTGTCGAAATTTCAATGATTTTGTTGATGAAGGACCAAAATAATCATGCCAAAATAATATTAGGATCAACGAGGATGTTTTTGAAAAAGAAAGACTAAATGTGGATTGCCACCTATAAATCTAGAACAAAAAATGTAATTAACTTTATAGAGTTGTATCATGCTAAATTTGATGTTATGATGCAATGTGACCATCATACTCTATACTAGAAGTGGCCACGGGACGGTTCAAGGTTGAACCAACCCTGAATCAGCCCAGAAAAAAGTGGGTCTGGGCTTCACTAAGCCTGAGTCGGGCTTAGCTCGAATCGGAAGCGCCTTGTTAAGGGCCGGTTCAGGTCCTTTAAAAAAAATTCGAGGCCCAGCACGGAACTGGCCCATGGACCATGCCCCTAACCGGCCCAAGCACGGCCCAGGCACGAGCCCAGTCCAGGTTTGGGCCTAGGCCCGGGCAAACACAGCCATGGCAGCAATGCATGCCAGCTTTGCTTCCATGGCTAAATGCCTAAAATTCTAAAAAAAAAATAGTAATTTTGATTGTGGCAGCTAGACTTATTACTTACTACTCAGTCCTGCAACGTGCAACGACCAAATATATTTGACCGTTGCATGTAGCCTTTGTCGGAGGCTAGACTAGGCTTGGCCTCCGGTAGAGGCTACTCCTGTTCTCGCCTCTCGGCCAGTACAACGGCTATTTTTTTTTCTTCTTTTTATTTACCATTTTACCCTATAAATACTCTTATCCAATTTATTTTTATCACACAAAAATTCTTAACCCGACACTTTCTTACTTCTACTCACAACAATTTTCCATAAATTAAAAGCAAATCCAATTTAAAAGTCTTTTATAAATTTTTAATTTATGATCTATTCATAATTTAGTGAGTAAAAATCAAATGAACTTTATAAATTATACTACATTTTATAATATTTATAAGTTATCAAATAATATTAAGTCAATAAGTCTTATATAAAGTTTTAATAGTACAAGACTACAAGTTTAAATGTATTTAACGTAATTTATAAATTTTAATTTAGTAGAAAATCATGTTAATTTTAAATTTTGAGATTAATAACAAAAATATTAATTTTAAAAAAGTGTGCATTCAAAAAAAAAATATTAATTTTAGAAAAGTGTGTGACTGTGTGTAATGTGTATATATACATTAATTATTATTAATGTATTAAGAGGTTATAGTAGCTTAATTGGAAAGAACTTAAATTGGTAATTAAGATTATAAGGTTAAGGGTTTAAATCACATTTCAAACAAAAATAGACCATTTTATATATATAAAAAAAATTATATATTTAAAACAAAATAAACAATATAATAATTTGTGGGCCTAGCCCGGGATCTGCCCACAAGAAGCACGGGCCTACCAATCGTTATGCTATGGACACGCGACACTGTTATCTTCCACTTTTTTTTTTTTAAAAAAAATTCAGACCGCTTCGTTATAGGAGTATATGTTCATTATTTTATTACTACATGTTCATAATTGTAAGTTCATAATGTCAGAGCTCTATGTTCATAATTCAATAACTGTACATTCATACTTCCATAACTGTACATTCATAATTCCGTAACTGTACATTCATAATTCTGTAACTGTACATTCATAATTCAATAACTGTAATTTCATAATTTTCGAAGCTCTATGTTCACAATTTTAGAGCTCTATGTTCATAATTTTATCACTATATGTTCATATTGTAAGTTAATAATGTCAGAGCTCTGTGTTCATAATTTTATAACTTACATTCATAATTCTGTAACTGTAAAATCATAATTTTCGAAATTCCATGTTCACAATTTTAGAGCTCTATGTTCATAATTTTATCACTATATGTTCATAATTGTAAGTTCATAATGTCAGAGCTCTGTGTTCATAATTTATAACTGACATTCATACTTCCATAACTATACATTCATAATCACATAATTGTACATTCATAATGGCACAAACGAATAACGCTGTTAATGGCGAGACAAAATCAAATTTCTTTAAAAAAAAATGAAATGACGCGTTTTCCCTAAAAACGACGTCGTTTTGGACTCGTGTCCACAATGCATTATGTACACGAGTCCAGGGCATAATTTGCCACTATACACCATAAGCCTTTCCAGTAAAAAGCACATTTAGTTATAACAAAGTTACATTTTTTTTTAGATAATGAATCTGTAATTTTGTATTACTTAAATAAAGATGTGTACTAGATTAACTATATTTCTATATAATAACTCGTCGACTACACTATTTCTGTATAAGAACTTACAAACTACACGAGAGGTACACCGCACTAAAAAAATACTTTGTGTGATAAACTTAACCAAATGATTATTGATAAGAATCAAACTCGTATTCAGAGTTACACTTCCTTTATTAAGTACATGCAAAGTTTTGCCTTCTCAAGTAGATATCAATTTTGCATTATTTCTCGAGAGAAAAATGAGATATCTCTTCATCAAGTAATACTCCCGTCATGTATATGTGAGATGTTTGAATCAAATGGAGATAAAACCACACTTCAGACAGGAATCAAATCAACGGGTTTTAAGTGGGAATGGGATTGGTTGTGATTCCCTACTCCTAAACCCATGAAAATGCCCCCACGGTTTTTTTTTTTTTTTTTTTTCCATATTTTAAAAGGCAATTCTTTTGGCCTTGTGTGATCCTCAAAATTGAATCTGGAAAGGGGGGTTGTGGTATAATGTTTGGAGTTGTTGAATCCGGGCTAAGAATTTAGGTAATCTTCCCAGCCGCCTTTTCCCAGCCTCTCTGCTTTGACCAACACCTCGTCTCGTCTGTCTTCTTGATATTGAGCCATTCTGCAAAACGAGGAATGGCTCGTTAGCTGGGAAATTTGTTTATATTTTCATAGAAGGGGTTAGTTGGCGGGATTTGGGGAACAACAGAGGCAACCCGACCTTGCTTGCAGGTTTGTGTCGCTGATCCCTAATAATCTCACTGCCAACAGACCCGCATTTGTTGCATTGTTTATGGCTACGGTTGCAACCGGGACCCCTCTTGGCATCTGTGTAAGAAACATTTCACATGGAAGAAAATGAAGCAAGCAAGCAACCAATATTTTATCTTTGCTCAGATACTCGTCTTTCATGAGCTTATGCAGGAAAAATTAATGTCGTCAAAGAACACCCTACCACTTAGACTAGAGCTAATATTTCACTTTAAAAGTTAATCCCATGATCTAAAGAGGAATAATTGAAGAGAATTTGTAATACCTGAACAATAGATAATAGAGAGTCCATTCCATCTAGAGCAGAAGCTCGTACTGGAACTCCAATAACTGGTAATGGAGTCAATGCAGCAACCATGCCTAGTTGTCATAAATGCAAAAAGTTCATCGAGTGTTTGTAGTAAATACATACCATAGACAGTCATTAAGCATTACTGGTAGCAGAGTACTGACCAGGCAAGTGGGCTGCACCCCCAGCACCAGCAATAATTACCTGGATGCCACGTTCTACAGCGGATAGAGCATAGGAATACATCATTTCAGGGGTCCGATGGGCAGAAACGATTTTTACCTGCAATTCATGTTTTGTTTAATTAAGTCCTATTATGGCCTCATGGAAACCATGATTTTATTAAAAAAAATAAAATTGGAGTTCATTGAGATGAAGGGTCCGTTTGGAAAGCAGGAAAATGACTTCTGGAAAATGAGTCATTTTCCAGAAAACATTTTCCTTTCCGGTGTTTGGTTGCATTTTGGAAAACTTGGTGCGTTTAGTTTATTTTTTGGAAAAATTAGTAGAATTGTATGTTTAAACATTTTGGCAGAAAATGACTTCCCCCAAATTTTGGCGGAAGTCATTTTCCACCAAAATGGCTTCATTTTCCCAGTCAATGGAAAATGTTTTCCGTTGACTGGATTTTCCTATTGCATCCAAACAATGAAAACTCAGAAAACATTTTCCAGAAGTCATTTTCCGGGTTTCCAAACGGACCCGAAATTAAAACAAGGCAAGGTAATGTAATGATTTATGGAGATAACCTCAGTAGGCACATCAAACTCTTTCAATATCTTTGCAGCATCCTTCATAACAGGAAGATCTGAATCAGACCCCATTATGATTCCAACACGCGGTGCAACTGTATAATGAATGAAGTATATTATTAAACCAATTTAGTCAAATAGAAATAAGCATGGACGGGGTAACCCCAGCCAATATGGCTAAGAATACAAACTTGTGGTCACGAGTTCGAATCTCAGCCTTCTTGGTTTGAGCTGGTCAGCTATGGGCAACTAGGTTGGTTTACCTCCTAGTGGTCCTTTGCCGGCTAGGGTCACAAGACAGGGTTTCTCAGGTACTGGCTGCGAGTTTCCCTCGTCACCCCAGAACTAAACATGGACAACTAGTGGTTTGACTAACAAGAGTCAAGAGGAAGCCTTTCATGAAAGGCACAGCAGAAGGTGCAAGGAAACTAGAATAACATACCAGATTCAGAAGGCTGGCTATCCGTGATATTTTCTCTGAGTGCAGATCTTAGCCGTGCTTCCACAATGCCCATTGAGGGTCCAACGAAAGTAATGTGACCCATCTTTCTTTGTTTTCGCATTTCTACAGATATTATAATCATTCAGTTCTCATTCCCTTTCACTTAATCTTTCTTTTGGTAAATAACATGTGGATGCCTGCCATATAGGAAAAGAAGAGAAATTGCAACAAAAGGCATTACAGTTTGTTCAACCAACCTGGTTTGTCATACCAATGAATAGATGCTCCTGGTATTTCTAATGCCCTTCCCATAAGCTGATTAGCTAAAGCAAAGCCTGGTTCTCCCTGGATCACAAATGCAAGGCTTTACAAACACCAACTCATTCTTTTAAACAAATAGTAACAAAAACTTGCAATGTTTTTTTTTCCCCACAATATATGCCAAGGAAAATAGCAGAACAAGTTTATAATGTGTAGACTCATGTTTTTACTTTTTATACTTTTTAACAATACCAAGAAACTTGTACATGTTGAACCTTAAAAACTCTCATGTTTCATTCATCATCTATGTACAAAATGCACACCTATGACCAATGTTGAAAAAATCGCTAGGCGCCCTCTAGGCGCCTGGGGACGGCCTAGGGCGCCTAGAGCACCTAGGCGGGCGCCTAGGAGGCTGACCGCCTTAATCGGCGCCTAGGCGCGATTTTTGCAACAGTGCCTATGACTCTATGAGTGCATGTACAAGGTAAGCCACAGTATTGAATATTGATGAAAGGTTAAATATTGTACAGCATAAAGTTAGTGATTAAAGATTATATGAAATGCCCAAAATGTAAACTAACCTCATCTTCACCTAATATGTTGTACATGATGGCAGCAGGTGTTTTCATTGATGGGTCACCGAGTGGCAGCCCTACCACAGCTCGTAAGTGTTGCTCAAATTGCGAAGTAAAGCAAGACTCAATAGTGTGATGTCCACTATTATGAGGTCTTGGAGCCACTTCATTAAGTAAAATCTGGGTGAAGAGAAAGTATATATATATAGAGAGAGAGAGAGAGAGGGTTGTCATGTTTCGAGACTGTGAAAGCTTGTGAAAAGTTGTATACTTGTATGTGGCATTCCTGGCCTTTTAAATGCGAAAAGATATTAGTAATAAACACATTGGCAACTAACAAACCTGATCATCATCTGTCAAAAACAGCTCAACAGCAAAAACACCAGCACCTTCTAATGAACCAACAGCTTTGCATGCAACATCAGTTGCAAGTTTCATAACCTTCCATGACACATTAGCTGGTGACTTCACAATGTGACAAATGTTTTCCCTGTGAATACTAAAAACAATTAGGAATAAGGAAAGCTAAACGCTTTTCACAGCATTGCCAAACAAGAAAAACATTACAGAATTCAAATCCATGAGAAGCACGTGTTCAACATGATAAAGAATAATAGTAAAAGTTGATCAGGCAACAAATAAATATAATCTTGCCTATGAATTGTCTCGACAACGGGATAACAGAGGGTAGAGCCATCCCTTCCTCTAGCCACAATGACGGAAAGCTCCTAAAATAAGACATAACGTGTTAATAAATATATCTCCTTCCAAAGCAAAAGCTTCAGAAAAGACCTTTAAGCTTCAGAAACTCCTCTTATTGAGTTATTTTATCTAATTAAAAGTTTATGCCTTGATGGCACATAACACATACTAACCTTCACAAATGGGGCCCACTTTTCAACATATAAACCCCGATCAAATCCTCCAAGAGCTGCAAAGTGGTATTAATTTATACTTTTTTATTAAACAGTAAGCATTGAAGCATGCATTCCACCTCAAGTAGCATCTTAAGCTATTAGAGAGGAATTGGGATACAGATTATTTTATATTTAATCATCACCGATGAGCTTCAAGAAATACTCCATAAACAAAGTAAATAAAAAAATAAAAAAATAAATAATAAATAATAAATAATATAAATAATAATAATAAACCATCATTCCCATGCTCATGCAGTCATACACACATGACACATACTCATGTTAAATATACACACTGATGCATATGGAAAAAACAAGTGATGGAGACCAACAATGAAAATATGTTTACTTTGGAGCTCACAATTCCCACAAAAAAAAAAAAAAAAAAAAAAGAGGAAAAAAAAAAGGTATCATTGTAGGATTAAGCAAATGATGCACTTTTGTCTGAATCTTATGTCCCAATTCTCTACCAGAATATATTGAGCACTTAACCCCCACCCCCATTTTTTCTAATTTTAGAGGTTTGATTTTCCTTTCTATTCCCTCATATTTTAAATTTTCTTATTTTAATAAAAGCCATAGAACAAAGACAACAATTAAATTGATGACTAAAGTGTTTACTAAAGGTCTTGAATTTGCAAAAGTCAAGGTAAATTAATTAACTGTTGTTTATATTATAAATTGATAGTATACTACCATTTACTGCAGAAGAAAGACCTTCTTCACTTTTAGCTACAGCATTGCCACGCCCATCATAGGCAAGCCTCCTGCTCTTGACCATAAGTGGATAGCCAAAGAGGTCACCTGCTCTTTTAGCACTTTCAAGATTATCTATCTGTCTTACCCAAATATCAAAGTGATCAAATGTTAGTATTGTTCATTCAATTTGGGTGTGATTATTACTAGAAAACATAGCAAATTTAGTGGAATTATCATCATCCCCACCTGCATAAACTTAGGAAGCGGAATGGAAGATTTAGAAAAGTGGACCTTTTGAAGATATTTGTCCTGTTATAAAAGAAAACAATTAAGTGCAAATCAGAATAGAACCACTAAAGTCAAGGCTGCTGTAGCCAAAACTAGGTGTTACTTGTTTGAAATATAAAATAGAATACATGTGCATACAGACTCATGTTACTAATTGCGCACAATCCCATATCTAGAAAAAAAAAAAAAACAAAAAAAAAAAAAAAAACCTGGATTATCCGGATTGTTGAGGCTTTAGGCTCACAGTCCACCCCTTGCTGCTCCAACTTTTCAATTGTGGCAGCATCAACATGCTCAATCTCAATCGTCAACACATCACACCTAACTCGAAACCCAAATTCATTAGTAAGAAACCAAAAGAAAGAGTAAATTCAATATACCCACAAAGCGGAAATGGTGCAAATCAAACCTTTTTCCAAATTCTTCAACAGTGGCACTATCATCATAGCTTCCAACCACATGATGATGAGCCAACAAACTTGCAGGACAATCCTTCATTGGGTCCAAGACAATAACTTTGATGGCCATCTCCGATGCTGCTTGACACAACATACGGCCAAGTTGTCCTCCTCCCAGAACCCCAACAACAATTTCAGATACTCCATGAATGGGTGAAACACTGCTCCTACATTAGTAACATACCCAGAAACATTAAAAAACGCAATCAAAACTGCCCTTTCTGAAGTAAATCATGCAGCACAACTCACAACTTACAATTCACTAATTCATTATAAGCATAGCTCTTAAGGAACAAAACAGAAAAAGCAAAATACTCTTTTTTCCCCTTCAAAAAGCACATCATCAGGAGATAATAGTTGAGAGGAGGCTACGACATTAGAAAACTTAAGTAAAAAATTATGACTGATTGACTTCATAATTCAATAAACCTCAAAAGGAAACGCCTTTATTCGTGAATTCATTTAAGACATTTTTAAACATCATACCTGAAACCATAATAAAAATCAAGTTTCTTGAACTAGCGTTGGGAGGCAATACCTGTCCGGTGCCGGCGTTTCTTGAGCTTTCAAAGAAGCTTTGCAGGGCAGAATGGCGGAGCTACATTGGGCATGTTGGGAAAGCATCCAAGAAGAGGAAGAAGAAAGTTGCTTGAGGATTAAGGTGTGTTGAGGCTTAGAATTAAGAACACCTACAAAGATGGAACTTTTACAGGGAGCTGAGCTGATTCGGTGACAATGGCCGCTGCTGCAAAGTGGGGCTGCAGATTTGGTAAAGCTCTGCATCCCCTTTCGCTTTCTCTTGAAAAAGAATAGAATTCTGAAAAAATGGAAATTGGAGGAGGGGTTTAGGGAAGAATGGTTGGGTTTTTGGAGATTCGGTGAAAGTATTTGGTTGAAGTATCAAAATTAGAATTAGATTAAAATACTTAATATTTGAAATGAATTTTGAGGAAAATAATCTACTCATTTAGAATAAAAATTAAAATAAAAAATAATGTAAAAATATTATTATAACAAAAGAAAAAATAAAATGTGTATTTTATCTAGAGTTTTATTATAATTTCGATTCGAATCCCCAAAACTCATGAACCAAAGGCTCTTAACTTGCATCAAAATTGTGTATGGAAAATGGATTTTGATATGGGATATAATCTCAAAAACAACTAAAAAGTAAATTTACAAATCAAAATTTACTCTTTGATACTATTAAGTGTAGTCAAAGTGGGGCTGGCCCTCCCCATTAGGCCCACCTCACCGCGAGCCTAATTTTGCGGGTTTTGCGTGCTAGCTCACAGGCTAGGGTAGGGGCCCGCAGGCCAGCCCACAGGTCTTTTTAAAAAAATAATTAACAATTATAATTATAATTCATAAATAAATATTAAAAATTTACAACTACATTATATACCAATCTAAAATTAACTGTTAATGACATATATTAATTCAAAGTCACAACTTACAGGGAGAGGAAGCAGTAGCCAGTAGCAGGCAGTAGACATTTGTTTTTAAAGTTTAAAATTTTCATACAATTTAACCAACAAGGTTATAATATAAACAAACAACACAAATACAAAATTACACTAAGGTCACAATCCAACAACGAAAATTTTTATTTTTATTTTAAAAAGTTTAAAAATTAAAGAAAGAACTCACGGCGTGTGTCAGAGGCTCAGAGCTGGTGGCGAGGCAGCCAGCGGCAAGCCGGTGTCCAGTAAGGCAGTAACTCTCTGTCCTGCGTAGCACGTCTCGCTGTGTCAGAGGCAGAGCTGGTGACAATTGATGAGGCAGGACTCCAGTGAGGCGGTAGGCGGCAGGACTCCAGTGAGGCGGTAGGCGGCGAGTGGTGGGCCGGTGTCTCCTGAGTTGTGCCGAGTAAGGGTGAACAAACGGGATAACCAACAGAAAGACCAATTGAAAGAATAACAAATAATTCCACAATTAATAATTGAAAAATCTAATATGCAATACTACATAATTCCAAATCCAAAATAACTAAGTAAACAAAAATACAAAATGTTTTAAACTCAGTGTCCAGTACATTAATATGTTTTGAATTGAAACTTACAATGATGATAGAAACATTGTCTAGTACCCAGGATTAGAAACAATGTAGAGCTGTCATGAATTTAAACTTACAATGATGATAGTTTTAAGATCAATTACGTTTCAAAATGCTAAAAATAAAGAACATGGAGCAAAACTAGTAGTAGCAGTCTAGCAGAAGCAGAAATGGTAGTAAACTCAACAAATTAAACTAAACATGAACAGAGAGTCAGACACAACGACAAATAATTAAACTAAACAAATATGCAAAAACTTACCTTGACTCCTCGAGGACGAGGGAGGAGTTGGCGAGTTGCAGCCACTAAGTCGCAGACTGGGTAGTGTCGTAGTGAGGTATGACCGTTTGGCGTCTGAGGATGTGAGGAGCAAGAGCAGAGGGCGTGAGGGAGTGGGGCGGTGAGAGACGAGGGCGGAATCCGGCGGAAGAGTGGAGACGCCGGGAGAAGGGTAGGGCTATTGTCTATTTCAGTTTTTTTGGGCTATTGGATATTTAGATTGGGCTAAATATTATTCATTTATTTGTTTTGGGCTATTGGCAGTTTAGCAGCACCACTATTGTTTTGGGCTATAGTGGTGCGTGATTTTTTGTCTTTAAGGTACGTGGTTTGTGTGGGCAATTTATATTCGGGACGTTATGCCATGGAACCGTGTTCACCATGATGGTGAACACGGTTCCAACGGTGTTAGTACACCGTTATCTTTTTTTTTTTTTTTCTTAATTAATTGCGTGACTTTTCTTCTTTATTTTCACATTTTGCGGTTTCACTTTAATTTGAGGTGAACAAAGATTTCGGACATTCATAAATTATGAATTCATGCCTACACATTCACTTTGGAACCATGCCTACACATTCCTGTCCGAAATCACGGACATTCATAAATTATGAATCCATGCCTGCAAATTCACTTTGGAACCATGCCTACACATTCACTTTGGAACCATGAGATTATGAATTTTCTGTTATAAGATTATGAATTTTCTGTTATGAGATTATGAATTTTCAGTTATGAGATTATGAATTTTCTGTTATGCGATTATGAATTTTCTGTTGTGAGATTATGAATTTTCATTACATTCATAATTTCGGACATTCATAAATTATGAATTCATGCCTGCACATTCACTTTGGAACCATGCCTACATATTCCCGTCCGAAATCACAGACATTCATAAATTATGAATCCATGCCTGCACATTCACTTTGGAACCATGCCTACACATTCACTTTGGAACCATGAGATTATGAATTTTCTGTTATAAGATTATGAATTTTCAGTTATGAGATTATGAATTTTCAGTTGTGAGATTATGAATTTTCTGTTATGCGATTATGAATTTTCTGTTATGCGATTATGAATTTTCTGTTATGCGATTATGAATTTTCTGTTATGAGATTATGAATTTTCATAAAATTCATAATCTCATAACAGAAAATTCATAATTTGATCAAACGCGCGCCGTTAACTCCACATCCGCGAATTATTATTATTTTTTTTTTGCCTAAAAACGACGTCGTTTTGCCTTGTGTTCACCATTCTCGGTGAACACGATTCCATGGCATAATTTGCGTTTATATCCTGCACCACGGCGCGCGTTGCATTATGCGTCTAAATACAAAACGACATCGTTTCAATTTATTTTATTTTGAAATTTCGCTAACCAGTGTTTGACAGTTAATTTTCCTTAAAAAAAATTTCATGTTCAAAAATGTACATAATGTTATACTATAATACACATAATTGTATACATGAATGTACATAATTATATAACAAAATACACACAATCTTTTTAAAAGATAATACACATAATCTAACATAATACATAATAAACATAAACTTTTAACATAATACACATCAACTCTTAACATAATACACAAAAATTTCCTGATTCGGATGTACATAATTGTATAAAAAAAATGTACATAATTGTATAAAAAAATGTACATAATTGTATAAAAATGTACATAATAAAAAATATACATAATTGTATAAACAAATATACATAATCATGTCAACTTCCTACCGCGCCTCCCAAAACGACGACGTTTTGGGAGGCGCGGGTGCACTGTGCGCCGTGGTGCAGGGTATAACGATTGGTTTGTGTGTCTGTATATATATCTAAAATCTAAAAACATAATAAGTCTCAATCAAAGTTATATTTCTCATTTATGTCCATGTTTTTAATACTAATCATTTTGTACATTGTGCTTTTAAAGTGGTACTATATAATTTTTTGGACAAAAATACTCTTACCATTATAACTTCCGTTATCTTTTCCATTATTGTTACCATGTACATGCATCCACCATATATTTTCTTATATTCTTTAATAATAATAATGTTGGTAGACATATAATAAATAAATTTGATTTCATATAGATTTTAATTAGTAGGAATTTGTTAGTTATTTTAAAAAATATAAATATTGGGCATATATTTTTTTGCATACGCGCATAAAAAAGACTAGTATGTATATATATTGTCTACTTTAGCTCAAATGTTTCCCAGCAGGTCAGGAATGATGTATGTGCGGTGTTTGAAGTTGCAGAAGGGGATACAACTGGAAAATATTTGGGGCTTCCTTCTCTAGTTGGGAAAAATAAAAAAGTCATTCTTGCATATTTGAAGAACAAGATTTTGGCTAAGGTTAGTAGTTGGAATGCAAGATTTTTATCACGTGCAGGGAGGGAGGTACTGTTGAAAACGGTGATCCAGGCTATGCCATCATATGCAATGATGGTGTTTCTGCTACCAGTTAGGTTGTGTAAGGAGATTGAGTGCATTGTGAATGAATATTGGTGGACAGGGACCGTTGGACGTGTTCGGGGAATTAAATGGAGGTCGTGGGAGGGCCTATGCACCCCTAAGAAATATGGTGGAATCGGGTTCAGAAAGCTTAGGGAGGTCAACTTGGCTTTCTTTGGAAAACAAGCTTGGAGACTGATTACCAACCCGGAGTCCTTGGTGGCTCGCGTTTATAAAGATCGCTACTATCCTCGAGGTAATTATTTTCAAGCATCTTTGGGTAGTAACCCGTCTTTTATTTGGCATGGTTTGATGGAAGTGCAGTCAGTTGTTAAAGGGGGGAGTAGGAGATGTATAGGTGATGGTAAGGATACATATATTGGGCCGGACCCTTGGCTGCCAGATGATACACAACCGCATATCAACACTGTGTTACATGACTCCATTTGTAATGCACCCGTATCATCACTTTTAAATGAGTCAGGCAATGCATGGGATGTTGGGTGTATAACCGATATTTTTTATGCTGCAGATGCAAGAAAAATACTCTCAATACCTATTAGTATGCGGGAGAGGCGGGACTCATGGGTGTGACACTGGGATTCGAAGGGCATGTATACAGTAAAGTCTTGCTATAAGCTGTTACAAGGAGAATATACTACACAACGGCCCTGGAGTTCGATCTGGAAACTAGAAATACCGCCGAAGGTAAAGGTGTTTTGTTGACAGTTGGTTTTCATTGTATCTTCCAACCTGGGATGCTTTGAACACTAAACATGTGCCTTGCATGGTAATGTGTCATATGTGTGGTAGTGTTTCTGAGTCTGCATATCACTTGTTTGTGCAGTGCCCAACAGTCCAAGCTGTGTGGAATAAAATCGGGATACCAGTGGTGGCTCATGAGGATGGGAATATTGCCGATTGGGTTGCCGCATGCACAAGAGCTTTTGATTGTGATCTCCTCAGTAAGTTTGTAATGGTTTGTTGGGGTCTTTGGAATAGTAGGAATGAGCATGTCTGGAAAGGCATTTCCTTTGTAATGGATACAATGTTACAACTGACTATATCCTATTGGTACAGTTGGAAGAATGCAAAGGAGTACAGTCAGCGCATGCCTCTCATTCCCTAGCTCACCCGGACGCTAGTCTGCAATGGAGGAAACCGTCACCGGGCAGGTTGAAAGTAAATACGGATGTAGCCTTTGATTATGCAAATAATTGTATGGGCATGGGCTGGATTCTTCGGGATGAGGAGGGTAGATTTCTTGCTGCTAAAGGTCTAAACATGAGGGGATGTTTCAATGTAAATGAGGCTGAGGTATATGCTATCCGGGAGGCTCTAAGTTGGCTCAAGGACTTGGAGCTGGGAGAGGTGGATGTCGAAACTGATTCACAAATTATTTTCCATGTTATTCATGCTACATCTTTTCATTCATCGTTTGGTAGTTTAGTAGATGATATTAAAGTAGCTACTTCTATGCTTCATAATGTAGTGTTCTCTTCTGTAAAGCGATCTGCGAATCGTGCTGCACACCTTGTTGCGCGGGAAGCCGTTTCTGAGTTAGGTTGCAGGAAATGGGTTGATATCCCTCCCCCTTTTTCTTGTTGACTGTTTGTCCGTTGATTCTATGAATTAAGTTTTACCTTTCAAAAAAAAATTAAAATTAAAATTAAAATTAAGCAGTAAATAATAATAATAATCTAAAATATTTTTATAAATTTAATATTTATATTTTAAGAAATAACTAACATATAACTCCAATATATAATGTGTATATATTATTCTTTTTGAAGAATATAAAAAAAATATATGGTGATTTTTCCTCTATATATATATATATATATATATATATATATATATATATATATATATATATATATGATGGATGTATGTGCATGGTAACAGTAGTGAAAAAGATAATGAAAATTATAACGGTAGGGGTATGTTTATTTGTCCAAAATAATGTATAATACAACTCTTATAGCATAATGTATAAAAAAAAAATGTAACAAAAAATGGACATAAATAAAATCTTAGGGCAGATTACATATGTCCAACGTGTTGCCCTCTCATTCCCTAACTCACTCGGACGCTAGTGTGAAATGGAGGAAACCGTCACCGGGCAGGTTGAAAGTAAATACGGATGCAGCCTTTGATTATGCAAATAATTGTATGGGCATGGGCTGGATTCTTCGGAATGAGGAGGGTAGATTTCTTGCTGCTAAAGGTCTAAACATGAGGGGATGTTTCAATGTAAATGAGGCTGAGGTATATGCTATCCGGGAGGCTCTAAGTTGGCTCAAGGACTTGGAGCTGGGAGAGGTGGATGTCGAAATTGATTCACAAATTGTTTTCCATGCTATTCATGCTACATCTTTTCAAACACCATAGTCTCTTTTTTTATCGGGTGGCGTGGAGATTCGGACTCATAACTAACTTTTAGTATGAGATTGACTCTGATACCAAATTGAAGCATGTGCTCTTCTCAACTAAAAATTTAAGCTCTTAGTTAGATCTCGCGCGCGCGCGCGCACACACACACACACACATATATATATACATATATATATACATATATATATATATATATATATATATATATATATATATATATATATATATATATATTATTTTCAACAAAAAATACAATAATTAAAGGATTAAAGTAAAAATTAACTTGAAAAAACTACCATTAAATAAATTTTTTTAAAAAAGTTATATATTGCATAGGATTGAGCTCCTAACGGCAAACAAACACAAGTATTTTTAAAACATAAGATATAACCACCCTATTGTACTCTGTATCAAGGTATGAAACATACATATAGTTTAAAAGCAACATGGATCATATTATTATTCATTCTTTCTTAATTAACGTACATTTTAATGGAAGTTTTGGATGAACTCGAGAATGTGGTTGTTGACTTCTTCAGGCTTTTCTTGGTTGATATAGTGAGCCACTCCTTCCATAACAACAACTTGTTGCAAATTTGGCACAATTTTCTTTAGACCACCTTCGTGTATGAGTTCTTTCACGCCTGGGAAGTGATAGGTTAAGTCTTGGTCTCCCACGATAAACTTAACCGGGACTTGAATTTGTGATCCACTCCAGGCTGCTGTAAGCTCCCAATTTCTGCGATATCACATTACAATCAAAATAATTGATGAGTTTACAATGGGAGTGTTTGGTAAATAGCTGTTAGTCGATAGCTATTAGCTTATTGGATTAGTGGTTTGACTAGTCGATAACATTAGTTGATTGTAGAGAAATGTTTGGTAAATTAGCGGTTAGTTGATAGCTGATTACATGCAAAATGATTTTCTCTAAAAGCTGATAAAAAAAGCTGCTTTGAACAGTTTTTTGAATTTTAGCGTTTTGGAGCAATAAGCTGTTATAAAAAAGCTAATTAATCAAACACTCATAATAATTGTTTAACCAAGTCAAACAACTAATAGTGGTCAAATACTCAAATAAGTCAAAATTGACGGATAAGCTAACTATGTTACCAAACAGATATATGTTGAGTGGAGGTCGGTGAATGGTCAAGTTCAGTGACTAGGGGGATTTTCGGACGGAGGCTAGCGAAGGCTCAAGCCCAGCATCCTACCTATAGAAAATATGGCGGTATAAGGAAATAAAGTTGTGCCTTCGCTGTGAGCTATAGATTTTGACGTAGTAGTAAAAGTTTAATCCTAATAAGTGATATCAAAGCCAATAAAGTTACACATTCGGTGTGAGCTATAACGTAACTTTGGCGTAGGAATAAGCGAGGGGAGGGGTTCTCGTGCGGTGAACATAAAATGCACGCCAATATCGCCATCGCTTCTACTAAAGCTTGATCCCACAACCTCCCTTATAAGGGAGCAACTTAGTGCCATTGGACTACAAGGTCTTTGGCATACAACTACATGTTTAGCTATGTGCATATAGTATTGCAATTTTATTAATTATGTATGCAAAATTATTATACTTTTACTTCTAACTTATTATCCATTTGAAATGTAGTTACTCAATTTTTCTGTGATTTGTTAATAAATTCGCAAAAGTATTTCTTTAAGGACTGGGCAATTTAGGTTCCTTAAGGATTGTTAAGGAGGCCCCGAAAATATCCCACCTTTTCTTTGTGGACAACAACTTCATTTTTATCAAAGCCAATGGCCTGGTCAAGAAAGCACTACCCTGAAGGAGACTTTGGATACCTATGGTAATGCATCTGGACAGATTATCAATTATGATAAATCAACCATCACTCAATCTAAGGAAGCTGAAGCAATGGCAGTGAGGGAAGCTTTCAGCTGGTTAAAGAGACATGGTTTCAGTCACGTTCAAGTAGAGTCGGACGCTCTCCAAGTTATTCAAAGTTTACATCAAAACGCGGAGGAGTCTTCTTTCGATCTTGTTATTTTAGATATTAAAGATTAAAGATTTGCTATTCTCCCTTAGACATGTAGCTATCTCTCATGTGAGTTGTACTGCCAATAGGTAGCCCATAGCCTAGCTAGGGAAGCCTGTTCTATGTCTGTGCAACAGGAATGGTCCTCGATCAAGCCCTCCTTCTTTTATTGTCAACACTATGATTTGCAGTAATGAAATATCGTTTTCCTTCTTTAAAAAAAGGTTCATTATGAAGAGATCACACTTTTGCCACGTGCAACTGTGCATTATATTCTTATGAAGCAACCTTATTTGTTAAGGTTTTTTGTGATTTTTTACAGGTACACTATGAGAGAGGAAGATGAAAAAAAAAAGAAAAAAAAAAGCAATTTTAACAAGATTTTTTTTCTTAAAATGTCTCTTAACGCGCCCAGCTTGGCGTGTGCACTACACCCGCCAAGCTACACCGCACACACCAAGCTGGGTGAAATTGTGCCACAAATGCGCTAGAGATTTGTACATGGCTGAGGCTCACAAAAACTTAATTTTGGAGTAAAAATATCTTCAAAAAAGGTCTCCCCATTTATTTAAAATCTACCTTTGATTTTTTCTTTGAAAAAATCCAAAGAAAAAACTATAATTGTGAATACTCTAAGAAATTCAACTTTTTAAATAAGTCATTCATGCAACGGAGGGATCAAATTGATAAATTGTGTAAAAATTGAAAGACATACAATTTTTCTCTTCTAAATTGATGAACCATGATTATCCGATTAAGAATTAACATGTCACATTTCAAAATGAGTAATAATTAATGGATGAAAAGTATGAATTTCTTTTAAATATTTAAATTTAACCACGTGTATTTTTTTTTTTTTTTTTTACAGTCACATTTGTATTAGACCGTTTCACGGATTTTTATACGTAAGACAAATTGGATCAAACTAATATAGAAATGTAATACTTATACTGAAAAATGTAATAATAATAAGAAATAAAGTGTTTCTTACTTATAACTCTATAAAGGAAAGTATAATACTTTTGAGGAAAAAAAAAAGAATACTTTTATAGAGTTAATTCCACCAGAGGTCTCTTGTCTTTGGTTGCAATTTCAAATTTAATCCCAGACTATTGTTTTTGCCATTTTACATCCTAGACTATCGTTTTTTGAACACTTTTAGTTCTTCTTATGACTTTTCTATTTTTAGTATGGGCATTTTTGTCTCTTCATATTTTTCTTTTGTTATTTTTCGGGTTTCAACCGGTTTAATTCGTTTAGAACTTTAGGTAACCTCTGATTTTTTGTAACCATATTTTCAACTAATTTTTAGTAAAATTCTAAACTAATTAAACCGGTTGAAACCGGAAAAATAATAAACGAAAAATATAAAGAAACAAAAATGTCATTACTAAAAATAAAAAAAGTCATAAGAATGACTAAAAGTGTCAACAAAAGGGTAGTCTGAGATGTAAAATGACAAAAACGATTGTTTTAGACTAAACTTGGAATTGCCACCAAATACAAGGGACCTCTAGTGGAATTAACTCTACTTTAATATTTTGTTATAAAATTATTACATTTTTTCTTATATGTAATGTTACTTATATAGAAAAATATAATATGAAGAAAAAATGTAACATTTTTAAATTAAAATGTATTACGTTTTTTCTTCAAAAGTATTATACTTTGCCATATAAGTAACAAATACTCTATTCTTGATTAGTATTATATCTTTTAGTATAAGTATTACATTTTCATCTTAACTTGACTCGTATTATGAACAAGGATCATGAGACGATCTCACATAAATTTTTGTCAATTTTTTATAAATATATTTTTAATGTTAAAAGAAAAATTTTTTTAAAAAAAAGAGAGAAAAAGAAAAAAAAAGGGTAATGGACAGATGCATATCGTACCGGTCAAAATTGCGATAGTAGTTGAGTCCTCCGGTGAAACCAGATTGCCCAAACTTGGTAGCGTAATATTTGATGTCTTGTTGGGTGAGCCAAGGAGGCAACGACACCGTTTCACCCCGTTTCTCGTACAATACCTGCGCTACACTTTGGTGGGGTATGCGAGGCGGCCGTGGATCTCGATTTGTAAGAAATGCTTTGAATAGTGTTGTCGGGTCTATGCTTCCAAACACCTCTTCTGCTTCACCGGGTTGCTGTATGTATATTCCACTATTCATATCAGTGAAAAAATGAATATAACTGTCCTCATGGGCTTATCATACTGATTTAGTATACTATACAAGATATCAATTTTCAAAACTCGATAACGACAATGTGAAAATTATGCTTAAAGTGGGTCTTGTGCACACTGACATTAAATCCTATCGACTAAGACACTGAGTTATCATAATTTATATCCTTTCACCTTTAATGAAAAAAGTGAATATAACTAGGTAAAATATAATTGCATTATTTTAATCCTTATTTTTCAATCTAGAAACAAAAAGAGTAAATATCCAAAATGGTCCCTCGACTATAGCAAAATTCACAAAATGGTCATCGACTTTCAATTTCAACCAATTAAGTCCTTGACTTTGCAATTTTGACATGATTTGGTCCTCCATCTATTTGACCGTTTGTTAACCGTGATCGGCGATCTTCAGAAGAACCTTCAGCTCTCGTCGGAGCACGTGGAGACCTCCAGGATGATGTTGCACTGGTAGATTGGTTTCGACAGTGGATTCAAATGTAACAGTGCGGTCTGAAAATGCAACCGGAACCTTAAAAACCCGACGGTGGACCATGAAATTACATATATATCTTCAAAAATCACAGTCAACAAATAGTCAAATAGATGGAGGACCAAATCGTGTCAAAATTACAAAGTTGAGGACTTAATTGGTTGAAATTGAAAGTTGATGACCATTTTGTGAATTTAGCTATAGTCGAGGGACCATTTTGGGTATTTACTCAAACAAAAATATGGGAATGACTACCTTTTAATATATATATATATATATATATATATATATATATATATATATATATTCTTGGATGATCTGAATCTCATTTCAATGTACTAATGGCACGTTTGGTTCACGGAACCAAACATGCTGTAAAAGTATGGAAACAAACAAAGTAATTGAATTTGAATCTTTTATATACCAAGATTTAAAACCCATGAACCAAGCGTCTCCATACTATTTTATTCTCGGACGTATATACTCTTCTTAGGCGGTATATATTGGTTGGATGAAAAAAAAAATAAATTGGGTTGCATTTTATAACTAATATACTGATTAATCAATATGCATGTCAAAGAGTAGTATAATGTAATTATGTGCAATAGAAGTAAAAAAAAAAAAAAAAAAATACTACAAATTCCTCAAAATATGAATAATACTACATAGCATTACAAGAAAAAAATGCACACAGACAAATGTTTTTAACCGTTGTTTATTGGGTAAAAAATCTATCGTTAAAATTAGTGTTGTTAAAAGTCATACTCAAAGATAACGATTTTTTCAACGGTTGTCTATTTAAGTGTTGTTAAAAGTCACGCGCATAGACAATGATTTTTAATCTATTTTTTACTCTATACTCAATAGAGACATCACGTATATTGATTGGTTCAAACAATGGTAGACCATGGCTTTTATCAATTTTTTTTTCCCTTTTGCTAATAATAGAAGCCGTGGAACTTTTATTCCTAGGACTAGGATACATTTATCATTTTTTTCATCCAAAAGTTGTTCCCGGCGTTCAAATCCTCCTTGACGTGACTAAATATTATTAGTCCCATAAATAAAAAATTAAAAAGAATTAATCACTTTCAAAATTAATAAAGATATTTTTTTGAAAAAATTAATAAAGATATTAAGAAGTAAAAAAGTAAAATGAAAATGGTTATATACTACAAGCTGGTATTTTGAATTTTGTCCATATGGAGGTGTTAACAATCATTATTTTGTAAATCATATTATCAAATAATGTATATTTAATATATTAAAAATATACATTATATTCAGAGAAAATATATTATTAGACTACTTAAATTATATTATTTTGAATAATGTACATTTAGTATATAAATAATGTACTTTTAATATATCAAAATGTACTTTTGTTATGGTTCACACACCAGTGTGGACCAATAATTATGGCCCACAAATAATTGGTAGAATTATGTGAAGTGGTGTCCATTATAGATTATTACTAGAGCAGATTAGGCAGCATATGAGTTGTGATAATGTATATCACTACCAGCAAAATATTTGTCATTTTAATAATGGACTACAAATCTAAAGATTTCATTTCTTCCACCAAATGATCCAACAAATATTTCTATAGGGAAAATTATAATTTATGGTGATCACAAATATACCGATCGTTATGCTGTGCATTTGTGTGCACCATGCATGGTGCATATGAATGCAAAAACGACGTCGTTTTGACTAAAAACGCGCGTCTCACTTAAATAAAAAAAAAAATCAGTTTCGATTCCTCTCAACGACATTATGTTGTTCATTCATTCTGGATTTTTAGTTCGTTCATTGATTCTGGATTTTTAGTTCGTTCATTCTGGATTTTTAGTTCATTGATTTTGGATATTCAGACGTAAATCGAAGCTGATTTTTTTTTCATTCATGCTGGATATTTAGTTCATTCATTATGGATATTTAGTTCATTCATTATGGATTTTTAGTTCATTCATTATGGATTTTTAGTTCATAGATTCTGGATTTTTAGTTCATTGCTTCTGAATTTTTAGTTCATTGATTCTGGATATATAGTTCAAATTATGTACAACATAATGTTGTTGCTGGGAATCGAAACTGTTTTTTTTTTTTTTTTAAAGTGGGACGCACATTTTTAATAAAACGACGCCGTTTTTGCATCCGTATGCACCATGCATGGTGCATACGGATGCACAACATAATTTGCACCAATATACCAATTATCAATGTCACCGCTGAATTATTAGTAGTGTAAATATTGCTCATCAATTTTTAAAACGTGTTATATATTGTCTCTCTCATGAATTATTAGTGGTGTAAATGTGGTTACCTGTCGTTTTCCTTGTTCTAAGACAACACTTTTTTTTCTCAATTTTTCTTTCTTTGTTTGTTCTCTTTCCGCCGACAATAATATTTCTCCTTCTTCTAATTAGAAGAAGGAAAATATATGTCACATTTTAAAAATTAAGAAGCAATATTTACACCATTAATAATTCAAGTGACATTAATAGTTGATATATTTGTGAGGGATAAATTATAATTCCCTATTTCTATATTACAATTAAAAGGTCATGCACTCTATGCTACTGAATACATCTTTACCATCAAGTCTTTTAACCCCTTCTCCCAAAGTGCATGCATTTGTAATTTAATTTTTATAATATATATCTTTTAAATTTTACTGAATAAAATATCATTTAAAATTTACATTAAAATTTAATTAAACAAAAACAATTTGGATTTAAAATTTATTTTTAAAAAGGTAAAAGAAAAATAAATGAAGAATTAATTCAATCGAATAAATAATATATAAAGCACGCAAAATGAGTTAGATGGATTACTATTTTTTTTTTTTGGAGTAACAAGGGAAATCTCCAATCACTATTTGAAGGTGTACATTGAGTAAACCCTACCTTGTGACCTTAGCCGATAAAAGACTAAAAGAAAGTAAATCAACATAAGTTTGTCTAGGCTGACTAGGTCAAACCATGAAAGTCAATAAATTACTCTTACTAGGAGTACTACTTGTAACATTGTAATTACTATTAATTTAATCTAATAATTCATTAAGTATTATTGACTAATTCACAATATTCAAAGATAACGATATAACTATATTAGGCTTACTATATGATATATATAAAGTTTGATGCAATAATCCAAACTTAAAAATCATATTATCAATAAGATGAAATGATACCTTTTTTTAATTGAGAAATGAGGTTTTTAATTGAAGATCGGGATAATCAAATCTCATAATTGTGTTTAAAAAAATTATTAATCAAATACTACCTATGATTTTGATTCACATTGCTGGTGTGTAAACCCGTGAATCAAACACACCCTAAGTGTTTTATTAAAATTTTCCTTCCACTGCTAAATGTAATTGGAAAAGAGTAAATTCAAATTTGGAGATGAAAAAGAAGAATGTAAATTTATGCATTTATTGTTACATAGGGTATTGGAAAATGACAATGACATCTTGCCTAAGCTAGATGGATTATAATTTTAAATTGCACTGATGTTACGTTGATTCTTCATTATATATACTATATATATGTTGCCTGGCCTAAAACCATTAGAAAGAGAAAGTTGCAGAAAGGATTACCACTCAATTAGCATTGACAAATGACATTACGTGGTTTTCAAAAAAAAAAAAAAGACATTACATGATTATTGACCTATATATATACACTAGTACAACCCGTGCGGCACGAATAGTAACATATATTTAATAATTATACTATTTAAAAATTAAAAAAATATTCAAAATATTATATAATTTTCAAATCATATTTTATTATAATAAAATATGTATAGTACCGAATATCAAAATATTATATAGTATTCAAACCATATCTTATTGTATAATTTATTCTAATATGTATTCTATATGTACCTATAAATTTATTTTTTTAAAAAATATATCAATTAGATGTCATTCAAAAGATCTTAATTAGAATTTTTTAATGATATATTTTTTATACATTGATTTTATTTTTACAAAAAGAAAAAAGAGAAAAATAAATTCAAGTTGAAATTAATATAAAATTACCATATGAAAGGAAAATATAATTATTCCTATCTCTATCTCTATCAGAAAAATAAAAGGAAAATAAAATCATCATATGAAAGGAAAATAAAATTACCAAAAATCTCTATATTTATCTATAAAAATTATGCGTTTACACTAGGCGAAAAATGCTAAGCTGTGTTTGGCCAAAGCTCTATAGCTTTATTATATATATATATATATATATATATATATATATATATATATATATAGTTTTTGCTTTTCCCGCTCATGGGGTAAAATTAATAAAATTTCTAAACTAAATCGAAAGCAATACCATTTTGGGTAAATAGAGAAATGTAATATTATACCGAAAAATATAATACTAAATAGGAATAAAGTATTTGTTAGAAAAAGTAAAATAATTTTTTAAAAAATGTAATATTTTAAAATTAAAATCAAAATATAAAAATATTGTATTTTTTCTTCAAAAGTACTATGTTTTACTTTATAAGAAAGAGATAATTAGTATTACATTTGTCAATATAATTTTTTCAATATAAATATTACATTTTAATCTTAACCCAACTCTCACACACAAGTTTTTGCCTATATTAAAAGAATGAAAATTTTTAAAATATAGTAAAGAAGAATTACCTGAAATCTGCAAATGTAAAAGTCATCCCCAAACGTCTCCCTCATATTCTCCAAAGGCTTCCTGGTAGGATGTCTAGGACTAATCACAACACTCATGTTGACCAAAGCCTTGATCCGGTCCGGTCGGAACATGCAGAAATTCCAGGCGATGATGGCGCCCCAGTCGTGGCCGACCAAGAAAACCTCCGGCAGTTGAAGAGCATCCAGCAGCGCCACCAGATCTCCGACTATGTGGAAGACGGAGTAGCTGTCGGCGCTGGGCGGCGCGTCTGTGTCCCCGTAGCCTCGCAGGTCGGGGGCGATCGCCCGGTAGCCTTTCGACGCTAAGAAAAGCATTTGGTGGCGCCACGTGTACCACAGCTCCGGGAATCCGTGCAGAAATAACACGGCGGGGCCGTCGCCGATCTCCGCCACGTGCATGTTGATGCCGTTGACGGAGACTGTATTATGCTGTATTCTTTCCATTCCTTTGCAAGTATATAATTAAGGTAGGTGAGATAACAAATTCTATCTTTGGAGTTTGCTTGTGTGTATACGTATGTATATATAGAAAAATCGTTGGTATACTTTATGCGATATAATTTTTATTGGGTGAAAAAAAAGAAGAATAAAACTATAGGGCAAAGGATGATAATAAAAAGTACATTTTTAATATATTAAATGTACATTATTTATGTATTGAATGTCAATTATACAATATAATATATACTCAGTACACAAATAATGTACATCTCCTGAATATAATGTACATTTTTTTAAGAACAATACAATATACATTTTTAATATATTAAAAGTACATTGTTTTTGAATTGAATGTACATTATTTTACCATATACAAAATATGGTCCACACAAAAATGATGACCAACAAACCTTTCTTATTGAAATCAATGAGTAAGTTAACAGGTGAACTAATAGAAATTAACTGAAAAGATAATATTTAACATGAAAATTAACGGATAATCATATAAAGGATAAATTAAGAAATCTCAACGAAAAAATTAAAATCTAACCAATCTGAACCACTCATTTGACCGTCATTTTTTCTACCCATTATATGCCTAACTCTCCCTCAGACTCTTATTAGTATAGTATAATAGATGTTATAAGTTCATTAAATATATTATTAATTATTATAATATTGTAAGTACATTACAATTGCGTGTCACAAATCACTCGTCTACTAGTTTGTGAATCAAAATTCACTAAAGCATTACCGTGTGATTTTATAACTTTCATGGAAATTTTATTTCAACTATTGCTACCATTTATCGACGTATCAATATTTGAATATGCACCAAGAACAACATTCACGATTCCACCTTTAGTGAAATCTGTTATGAGATATAAACAGCTTGTATATTTCATTAATAAGGAACAAGTATATATACATAATTATATCACAAAAGTAGGAAATAGATAGGCAAAGAGAAATTATAGAAACCACTACACAAGACTAGGAAACAATATTAGACTAAGTTCATAAATATAATATTATTCTCTAATATGCCCCCTCAAGATGAAGTTCCGTAGGAGACGCCAATCTTGACCTTTAAGTCCAAAAAACGGCCACGTGGCAGTGGTTTGGTTAGAGCATCAGCAAGTTGATTTGCAGAAAAAACATGAGTAACACGTAGAGCACCCGATTGCACTTGGTCCCGAATAAAATGATAATCAATTGCCACATGTTTCATACGAGAATGAAAGACTGGATTAGAGCAAAGATATGTAGCACCAACATTGTCACAATAGATTACAGGTGGAGTAGGCAGAGAGACACCGATTTCTATAAGAAGAGAGCAAACCCAATTAACCTCTGAAGCAGCAGTAGCAACGGATCGATATTCTGCTTCTGTAGACGAGCGAGCAACTGTCCGTTGCTTCTTGGACGACCAAGAGACAGGATGACGACCAAGGTAAACAATATAAGCACTCGTCGAGGTGCAGTCATCTTTGTTACCAGCCCAATCTGCATCCGAGTATGCATGTAAAGAAATATGATTGTCCTTATGAAGAAATATCCCATGGTTTAAGGTACCACATAGGTATCGAAGCAATCGTTTTACAGTAGCCCAATGGTCAGTAGTTGGTCGATGCATAAACTGCGAAAACTTGTTAACAGCATAAGCAATATCTGGGCGAGTGAAGCACAAATAGGGGTGTGCAGAACCCGAGTAAACCGACCCACCCGCCCGACCCGACAACCGACGGGTGAGCCCGTGGAGCGGTCCGTATCCGAAGACCACGCCCGACCCGAGTGCACGGTATAAGACGGATGAAGAGGGTTTGGGTGGGAGGCATTAAACGCCACCCGAACCCGTCCAAGCATCCGAACTAGACTAGGGTTTTTTTACCCTATGTAATACGACGTCGTTTGTTATATGTATATATACTACCTATTTTGGTCAGCGCAGCCGAGCTCCCATTTCACTCTTCTCTCAAGTCTCAATCTCTCATCTCTCATCTCTCGTTCTCTCTTTCGCTCTGGTCTTTGAGTCTTACTCTCTAAGACTCTGAGTTCTCACTTCTCAAATCTCAGTTCTCTCAGTCTAATTCTCTCAGTTTGTTAGACACTCACAGTTGTAGTCTGGTGGAAGCCCTATTCGGAGACTCGGAGTAGCGAATAATCTGGACTCTGGTGGAGTGGTGAAAGCCCTAGACCCTAGTCCGGTCACCGGACTCCGGTGGAACGGTGGAATAGTGGATTCGAAGCCCTTTGTTCTCGAGGGATTAAATTTGAGAAACGAAGTAATTACTAAACCCTATTTACATTTTCGTTATAGATTATTGTGTATTTGTCTTCTTGATTAGGGTTTCTAATTGTTAGTCCTTGCTTGTTGAAAAATATGGAGGAAGCTACAGAAGATAGTGTTAAACTGATGGGTAAAAATATGAGGGGAAAATTTGATAAGTATTGGGGTGAGCCTGAAAAAATGAATTTTTTGATATTCTATGCAAATATCTTAGACCCCAGGGACAAAATTGAGTATATGCCCATTCAGTTTAACCAGTTATATGGTGAGGACAAGGGTAAAACAATGTTTGATAAGGTTATTGTTGGCCTTAAGGAGTTGTTTGAAGATTATGTTGCATGCTTCCCTGTCCAGTCTGTTGAACAATCTGACAAATCTTCTCCCTCAATAACAATATCCGATTCTGTTTCTGTTGGGAGACCTCAATCATTACTGAAATCTCAGATTAAGAAGCAAAAATTGGTGAGTGGGGATTTGTCTAGGAAAAAAACTGAGTTGGAAGTGTATCTCTCTGAGGTTATTGTGGATGAGGATGATTCATTTGACCTTCTAAGATGGTGGAAGCAGCAATCTGAAAGGTTCCCTGTCTTATCTAAAATGGCAAGGGATATTCTAGCTGTTCCAATATCAACTGTTGCTTCAGAATCAGCATTCAGTACAAGTGGAAGGGTACTTGATGCCTTTAGGAGTTCCCTAACTCCTAGAATTGTTGAGGCATTGGTGTGTGCACAGGATTGGCTAAGGTTAACCAATCAACCAATCTCAATTGAAGAAAATATTGATGATGTTGAAAGGATTGAGAAAGGTATATACTTCTAACTACCATTTTGTATCTGTTTAAATGTTTAATTGTTTAAGTTTTAATTTCCATTTTGTATTTGTACTGCAGAGTTGTGCAACACATCCAACACTGGAACTGGAATGCCTACAATTGTTGTATGTTTACAGTTTCCATTAATTTATTTTGAAATCTGAATTTGTGATTACTTATTTGATTTCATGATAAATTTATGCCTCTGTATCAGTGTATCATGTATGTGTATCAATGATTCAAATCAATGTCCCTCATGAGGCTAGGAAGTTGGAACTGGAACTGGAAAGTGCTCATGGCTAGGTAACATTTTAAATGTTGCTGCCATTGAGCTCAGGTATCAGTATAAGTACTGACTAAATGTCTAAATGTGACTTCTGACTTCTGACTCACTATACTTATAACTGTATAACTGTTCATTATTGTGCAATGATGATGCTTCCACCATGTTCTCTGAATATATAGAATTGGGTTTGGTATGTTGCCTATGAAGTGTGGTGTATGCCATACTCATTGAGTAGTGTTCCCCCAATCCTAAATTGATATGGAAAAAAAATCTATCTGAACACTCTTTGAATCTTTGCTATTTAAATATAATCCATTAGTTCATTAGTTGTTCCAGTATAAGTATTATTGTGCTATGATGATGCTTCTACCATGTTCTCTGAATATATAGAATTGGGTTTGGTATGTTGCCTATGAAGTGTGGTGTTTATGCCATACTCATTGAGTAGTGTGCTCCCAATCCTAACTTGATATGGAAAAAAAAGCTATCTGAGCACTCTTTTAGTCTTTTACAGTTTGTGTCAATCCATTTTTCCATTATTGAATGGCAGTAAGTTATGAAATGTTTTGAACTTATTGTGTTTTTATGTGTTCACTTATCAGGAAGAAGAATTGACTAATAGAGACATAAAGTACTCTATATTATATTAATCATATATTCATATATTACTTTTGGAGTTTTGGATTTCTGGCTTTCTTTTGCTCAATGGCTGAAACATCAAACATGAAAGCTGAATGCTGATGTGCTGATTGGAGAATGATGCTGCTGCATGCTTGCCTGCTTGCCTTGGAGTTTGGAGAATGATTGTTATATTTTGCTAATTTGCTATGAAGAATTAAACTTCTCATTACAAGTTTTAAATTTGTAACTTGTAAGCTAATCTGCTGTAAATTTGTATGTTTTGAAGTTGCAGTACTAGTTTCTAAGTTCTAACTTGTAATTTTGTTAATTTGATTATATGTTTACAGTTTTATAAGTTTACTTATGTTATTTTTGCTGTTAAGTAGTTAATAATTACTAGTTAGTGGCTAATAGTACTTATGTAGTTCATTAGTTAGGTGTTGCATGAATTGAATATTTGATTTGTACATTCTTATAAAACCGAATTACCAAATCGATATCCGACCGATCCGACCCCATCCGAAAATAAAAATAACCGAACGGATAAGTCAACAAAATAAAACGGATAGGGTAGTCAAAATTGAAATCCGAAATCCGACCGGGGGACTCTTTCCGCCATCCGAACCGTCCGATCCGTCCGACTGCACACCCCTAGGCACAAATATTGGAGACCACCTATGATAGTCCTGTATGCAGTGGCATCAGTTAGAGCAGTACCTGAAGCAAGGGTCAAGTTACCATTCGTATCAACCAGTGTGGATACTAGCTTGGCTGTAGACATTTTTGCTCGAGCAAGCAAATCAGAAACATTACGTTTTTGAGCAAGAAAAATGTCAGATGGTGTAGTGGCAATCTCAACCCCAAGGAAGTAAGACAAAGTACCAAGATCTTTGAGTGAAAACTTGTGTGCTAGAATATCAATGAATTGTTGAACAACCGTGGAATTGGTTCCTGTGATAATAATATCGTCCACATAAACAAGGATATATATGACAAGGTCACTGGAGTGAAAAGTAAATAGAGAAGTGTCGGCATGTGAGTTTATGAATCCTGA